ATATATACATATATATAATGTATATAAATATATGAAAAATTGATGTGGGTACTCAAATGAAAGGTCTCGATGAGTGTAACTTCGGAATGAGCTTATATCTTTAAAAATGTCAAAAGTTGACAAGATACAAGGTCATTTCTTAATTATGTATCTAGAGATAGAGCATATTCAAATGCAACCTAAATATCATCATAAATTCACTATTGGTAAAAATGATATGAAACCTTGAAAAGGCACAACTTCAGGTCAAGACTTTTCCAACAATACCAAATTTAATCATAAAAACCCGTTTTATCATATAAATACACTGGCCACAAAATTATGCTTATTCTCTTAATAATCTAGATTAAATAATTATATTTTTTAATACCTTAAATTTTCGCGCTGAAAAATTACGCGCAGAAATCTTGCGCGTGTATACTTTGCACATGCGCTAAAAATTTTTTTCTGCAAAGAAAACGGCCACTTCTAAGCTCGATAAAAAAAGTAAACCATAATAAAGCTAAAAAAGCGATGAGTATCAGGAAGAAAAAACAAACCTATTAAACATCGCGATGTTAAATATTAAATACAAACATCATAAATACTAAATAATTAATCCGCGAAAAAGCATGCGAATAAAAAAGAGTGTTAATATTTTTTCTCACCACCTGACACAGCTAGTGTCATGGCGCTCAGTGACAAATCATCGGTAGTGCATCAGTCGTGATCAGCAGGTACACACATTAGTGACTACTCGTTAAATCAAATAATAAATTCAGTTAAATTACTCAGTGTTATAAAGTTATCAGTTATCAGTTATCGCTAAATAGTCACCAGTGATGCCAGCTGACTAACAACAAACAAGTGATATTAAAATAACCGTAAACCATTGCAATAATACAGCAACAATTAAAACAGTGTGTTGTTAAAAACCGGCTGTAGCATGTAGCTCGTTGATTCGCAATTTATTGAGAGCTCTAGGCTGTGGCCTATCGCAGAAAATGGCCGCGTGCGTATGAAAAAAAAATAATGCTGACTGAATGATATTTTTACTTTTTTTTTTTTTTTCTACTTAGTTATCAACAATGTTGCAATTATTGATTGAATAATAATAATAAAATAAACGTTAAATATCTTTTTAAGTGCTGATGAATTTCTTCTACCAGTTGGTGGATTGCTGACAGCTATTATTTACCAATTGGAGTAGTATACAGTACACAGAACAGCAAAAGAGCCTAAATAGTTAGTGTTATATGTTGTATTGTGTCGGCATGCTGTCTCACGGTCATCGACCGGAGGCTTAGAAACGAGATGTCGAGTTGCTCATGGATACGCCACTGACTTTTATCATCATCTAGTACAACTTGCTGATTATATTGTCTATTGTATTAAAACGGTGATCTATTTTTTAATATAAATAGATTTTTAATTGATGATTTTAACCAGCTGAATGGTGTCCAATTTACCACCGCCAGTTCACCAGATCAGCTTACCGTACTGATTAATCAACACTGGTAATAATAATAATAAGTGATATAAAATGTCAAGATTGTGGGACTGCTCGTCTTCAAGTTCAAGTTGATTATTTTTAAGCAAAATGGGAAAAGTTAATAACACACTGGGCATCATTGCCTTTGTGTTAATTATTTATTTATCAACAACTGTTAATGGTATGTAATTATACACTTCACTAATTATTTCAAATTTAATTATTACTTGCTTTTACTCCATTATTAACACGTGTTTCGATTGAGCTCTTTATTTTTATTTTTTTCTCTGGCGTTCAATGGGTTTATTATCTGTTGTTGTTTTTTTTTTATAAGTTGTTATTGCATTAATTAATGATAAAATGAGTTATATTTAAAGTTTTAAATTTTATTGAAAATTATTTTTAGTTATATTTTTTTTATTAATTTTATTTATTTATTAATTATTTTATTTATTAATTTTATTTATTTATCAAAAAGTTATGCTAAGGCCTCATAATATATTTTTTCATATATTCACATTTATAGAATTTAGAATTTAACTTAAGGAGCAAATTTTTATTCTCTAATCAGAGCAGTATCCAAGAAAAGCACAGAAATGAAAAGAAATTAAAGTAGTCTCTAAACAAAAATCACAAGAAAAAATCAAAATCAAATTACCCCCATGAAAAAAAACTATGAAAAATATATTTTAAATATATTAAAAATCTACAAAAAATATATAAATATATAAAAAATATGTATAGTAAATATATTTTTAATAACTAACTTTTGGTCGATTTTCATACATATTTTATATATATTTTAAAATACATAAAAAATACATAGCTAAAAATATAAAAAAAATATATTTTGAATATATCTAAAATATATTTGAAATTATATAAAATATTTATGAAAATCGGCTAAAAGTTAGCCATTAAAAATATATTTACTATACATAATTTATTATGTATATTTATAGATTTTTAATATATTAAAAATGTATTTTTTATACATTTCGATACATATTTTTTTTTCATGGGGGTACTGTTTTTCTTCAATCTCACGTAACATAAAAAAGTTGAATACTTTACTTTTAAAAATGTACTCTAGGAATTTATAATATCTGGAAGTTCTGTCCAGAGTCGAATATTACTAAATTTCTTAATTAAAAAAAATATTTTGGAGTCAAAATTCATTATACATTTCTTTTATCAATATTTTATTGGTCTACGTAATTAAATATTTTTTTTTTTATGCATGGAAAGTTTTAACCTGTTGATGTAAAACAATGTAAATAAACGAACGATAACACTGAGCAATCAAAGAAAAATATAAAAAAATAGATTCGTTACTTAAATATTTAATTTACATTTTTTGTAGAGTGAAGTAATGAATTGTTTTCTATTATTACTATTATTGAATATTAATTTAAGCACACAGTTAATTTAAATACTTATTATGAATGATAGTTAATAAATTAGTTAGTATTAATGATTTATTAAAAATGTTTATCGATGAGGGTTATCGACGTTTTGTTATGCAACAATAGTTTAAATTGCATTCTAATCATAAATTATATGTTTATATGACTGCGTATTAAAGTATATGACATTACTGCATTGATATACTTTGTATACTTAATTACTTTTTTTATCATTCGCTATAAAAATAATGGATATAAAATCCGAGCGTGTTTGTTGTGAATTAATTTTTTAGCGTGTTGAGAAATATATGTATACACATACATATAATATATATGTGTGTATATATATTGAGATTAATATATTAGTATGCAAATTAAGATTATGTCCAATACATTATTTTTCGTTTTTTTGTATGCAGATTTTATTTTTAATTTATTCGATAATTTCTTGGTAGTCTTGCGTAATTTAAAACATTTAAAATTTAGCTGTTTATTTTCGAGTTTTAGAATTTGTTTTCATTTTACATGCGGGTAATAGACCGATAAAAAAATAATAAATTATTTCAATGTAAACTAAAGTTTTATTTTCTTTGAAGTTCTTTAATAAATATAAATAATTTAAGTGAGTAATTATTTATTGCACAACATCAAAATATTATTTTAGTGCAATAAATAATTTCTTTAAAGCGTAGTTTTTTTTTTTTGACCTAGAGATTTTTTTTCTTTGTAAGTCTTTTTAAAAAATAACACAGAAGAAACTAGTCATAGGTATAAAATTATACAATAAAAAAAATAAAATCTCTTGAGTTATTTCAATAGAATTAGCACATGGTTAATAATTGAAACGGGAATTTAATCTGCGAGATTTAGTAGTGTATAATTATATAAAAATTTTTTAACTATAAATTTATGTTATAAAATATTTTTAAGATGAAAAATATTTAATTAATTAATTAAATATTTTGTTTTAGGATTAAAATGTTACTGCGACATTTGTGTCGATACCAATCATACATGCGAGACAGACGGTTACTGTTTTGCGAGTACGAGTCGCGAAGATGACGTCATCACACACGCATACAGGTAAAATAAATTTTTTTTTAACTAACTAAAATTATAATAATTAATTTTCATATTTATATTTAGAACATTAATGATTTGAATTTTTAAAACTTGTAACAAAAGTTATTATTAATGAAACCGTAAAAAAATTTAGATGATTAACGTGAAGAAGTTTCCTACTCTCGTAGACTCGTAAAAATTGTTGAGGCTGAAAGTAATCCCAGTTCCGTTGAGCCAACTAAATTCTACATACTATATACTACCAGGATAATTGAAATACTCTTGATGGGGAAAAAAGATGCAGGGCATACGCGCGGATAATTGCCAGGAAGCGTGTGGGATCGACCGGTTTTTGCGAGGAAAGGAGACAAAGAATACACGTATATATATGTATATAGCATACTAAAAAGAAAAAGAGGGGGTGGTAACTTACACGAAATTCGTTCTTCTTAGTGATCGATAGCTAGTTTTACTTGCTGAAAAAATTCTATACCAGGGGTTCCATGAATAGGGGGCCTTTTTTTTATTTTGTTTCTAAAAAATATTACTCATTTTTACCATTGCATTTTAGGCAGCTTCATAAGCTTGCCTTTCAACATTATTATTATTATCATCGTTATTTTTTAATATCTTTAAAGATCGATCCTCAGCATCGTCTTCACTTTCTTGGTCCACTTCATCTTCACTGTCATTCTCCGACTCATTTTCACTGTCTTCAGCTTCAGAATCTTCAACTTCATCCAAAGGTTCTTTTTTCTTAGAATTTTTACCTTTTTTTAATTTTTCATCTTTAGACGCTTGATCTTCATTATTATCATCATCACCAGACTTCTTCTTCTCCTTCTGTTTACCTTGATCTTTTTTCTTCTTATCTTTCTTCGACTCAGCTTTATCTTCTTTTTTCTGCTCCAACCAAGACAAGTACGTAGGATTATTTTCTTTGAATTGACTTACAGCAATTTTCATCGTCTTGAAATAAACCAGCCTCCCCATCGCCTTCGTTCTGCTGTCTATCTTGGAGTCAGACAAAATTTGCTGCAAGTCCAAGGTATTTTTTAAAGCGAACAATGACACTTTGTCACACTGCTTAGTACTATTAAATTTCTTCATGTCCATAACTTGGTCAATCAATGTTTGAATTTTTTTCTCAACTTCTGGGTTTTTACTTTTTTTCTCTTTCATCGCTGTTATTTTCTTCGTTAGCTTACGTATCACTATAGTTTTAGCAGCTTTTACTTCTTTTCTTAATTTTAAGAACTGAAATACAAATAAATAAATTAATTAATTAATTGTTTTATAGTAAAAATTTAGAAAATAATTTTCTACTTCAGAAACAGTAAATTTTGCAAGATACTGAAATTCGAAGATATTTGACAATTCTTTTTAATTTTTATTAAGAATAAATTATAAAAAAAAAATATTTAAAAAAAAATTGCCCTTGTAGTTTTTTTTAATTCTTAAAAGTGGAATTTTTTTAATTAAAATTTTGTCATAATAAATGAGTTGTTATAAAAATCATCACATTAAATTTAGCTGTCACTTGACAACTTAAAAATATTTTTCAACATATAATTTTGTTCAGAAAAATTGTTTTTAAAAAATTGCATTTAAAATTTTTACATGTCATTTTTTTTGCGATAATTTGTTACGAAAATTTTTTAAATGATCAAATATCTACTAATTTAATTTTCATATAAAAATCCAAAAAGTTGACAGATATTTTGTTAATTTCAATATCATAATTTTACTCATAAAAAAATGTTTTTATAACCTCAAATACGATGTATGAATTTAACAGAAAATCTTACTTACATTGTTATTTATAGTTCTCAAATTTTGGCCTTTCTCATCTGTTTTAGACTTCATGTTTGTTGATTATGTAAATAATTACCTAGTGCAGAATAATTATTTATTAAATAACTACAATAGTTGTCACAAAATAAAAACACGTGTCGTGTAATAGGTAGTCGTCGAAAAACTTCAAAACATATACGATATAAATATATCTAAATAGAAAGTATTTTTATCTTCTATCGGTACTGAAAAATTTTTACTTACTTCTGCTCAAAAATTTTATATAAAATAAAAAAAATTATTTTTAAATTTAAATAACAAAAAAATTTCTCAACAATTAAAAGTTTTTTTAATGTAATAAAACTTTAACTCTGTTGTATTGTCTAATTTTCAACAAAAACAAATCTCTTACATGTAAAAAGTATAATACTAAAATTAGCAGTTCAACAATTTGATTTTTTTCATTAATTAAAGTAGAAGAATATTTTAAAAAATTTTAAATATTTCTTCAACATTAAAATTTTAAGAATTTTCAGATGGCTAGTTTAATTTTTATGTCAAAAGTATATAAAATATATATTAATAAATGAATCTTAGCACAAAAAAAAATCATATTTAACTTATTTTGAAATGGAATAAATAATTTAATAAAGTAAATTAATATTAGATATAATATAAATACTATAAATTAAAAAAAAAATTAACTTTTAAATCTTATGGAAGAAATTATAAATTTTTAATACTGCTTAAACTCCAATATTAATTTAATAATTAAATAATAAATCATGACTTACTATTTTATTGACATCTCGTTGAAATTAAACGAATGTAAAATTTTAAACAATAATTCTACTTAATAATTTAAAAATTCCAACAGGCAAAATCTTGAAATATAGATAATAAAATGAATAATCCATAATTACATGAATTTCAATTAATATTTTTTATTGTGCAGATATTTTGCAGCCTTCTACAATGGAAAAACAATGTAAAAATTTATTTTAATGTTTATAAATTATAAATAAACAAGACTTAAGCCTTGACGGCGAATTTCCGTTGTGGCCACTTGGATAATTTCCTGGCTTCCTTCAGAGTTTTAGCGTTTTCCTGGTGGGTAGTCAGACGACGACGGATGGCTCTAGTCTTCTTGGGTCTCAGGTCCAAAGGCTTCCATTTTTTGTTGGTGTACAACAAACGCAAATTTTCCTTTTGCTTCTGGTTGATGATAATGTGAATACGTGCGATAGATTTACGGAGCACACGCCTGTGAAATAAATTATATATTTATTTAATTACTAACAAATATTAAAATTGTCATGAAAATATCTAACATAAATATGACTGGTCTGACCAGCAGGTTATGATACGTCGGAAAAAGATCAAAACTTACAATTTCAAAGGATCAGAGGAGTTGTGTCGTGCTACTCGAGCACTCATAAGCTCCTTCTTCAACTCCTCGAGCTGAGTAAGCAGCTCCTTCTTGTTCTTGGCCCGTAATTCTGAACAGCGTGGCTTCTTCTGTAAACATTAAATTAATATTCTAGGTTAAACACACGTCACACACCTTATGCCAAAGTAAATTAAAAAACTGAGTCTAATTGCAGAATATAAAAACTAATTAATCAACGAAAAACTTATTTTTACAATACACTTATTTTTTTTATTATTTTTTTAAAGATTTCACATTTAATTAAAGATTAAATTATTAAAGCCCTCACCATTGTTGCACTATTGCTGTCTGTAAAAGAAAGAGAGTATCGATAGTTTCTCTCAGGTTCTCCATTCGCTCACATGTAACTGCGCGCGTCGTTTGTATTTCGCGGGAAAATTAAAAAGAATCATAAAATTAATTGTTTTTAACCAGCAAACAATTATGTTTACTTTAATTATAATTTACTAATTAATTTTATAAAAATTATTGAAGTAATTGTTACAAAATATCAAAATTAAAATTTTAAACAATAAAAAAAAATTTTATTATCGACAGAATTAATTTATTGGTTAATTAGTTGACAGGTAGGGAGCGCAGTTGTTACTTTCTATGTTTACATCTTTGTTTATATTTTTCTGTCGAATACTCGCAAATTTTTAACAATTTTCCAGGTAAATAAACAAATAGTTTGCATGTAATTAATAAATTTACTAATTTATAACTTGATCAAGTTTTAAGTTTGCTAAAACACTGGCACTCTATTCATAGTAGTAAAAATAGTGGACATATAGTAGCTGACATTTTTGTCAACTAATGTACATATTGAAAAAAAAGTATTCGAAAAAACGTAAATTAAATATTTTTGGGTTCATTTTTTCGTTGGTTTTTTTCATTATTGACTGCTTTGTTTTAAAATAAAAAATCAAGATACTGATAATTATCAGAGCAAGTTTCTTATAAGTAAGTGTGACATTATTACTAGAAAAAGAATTCTTACACATCAATAAGATTTTTACTGCATGTTATTCTTGAAATTTGTAAAATTTTTCATTTTTTTTGTAAGAAAAAAATTTGAAGATTATTCAAAAATATTGACTTTGTTAAATATGATCAAGAAAAAATTTTTTTTAAGTTTAAAAATTACCAAACAATTAAAGAGCATCATACGCCCATGATGAGACTCATACAAGCTGTCAAGTTAACTGTATTTTATATTAAAAAATTTATTTTCATTCACATAACATCAAAAATTGTTTATTTTTAAAAGGTGAATTTTTAAATTATATTTTTTAAAAAACAAATAATGAACATTTTATACATTTTTTTAAGTATGTAAAAATTTAACCTAAAAATTTGAGTAAAGTCAATAAATTTTTAACTACACACAAAAAACAAATTTCTTACGCCAAGAAAATTTTAAAGAAAAACAAAAGTTATTTTAGAGCAAGAATAGTATATTACATACCTAGGCCAGTAAAATAAGAAAAGTCTCAGACCACATGTAATTGTTGGCCGAGGCGAAGCCGAGGTTGACAAACATGTGGTCTGAGGCTTTACTTTTTACTGGCCAAGGTGTGTATACTATTTTTTCTGCTCGACGTAGCCGGAGGGCAGAAAAAAATTTTCTTGGCTCAAGAAACTGACTTCATTCAAGAAATTTTCAACCTTCCTTAATATTTTCTTGAGCCAAGAAAATTTAAACTCCATCACTGATAGAAGGATTTCTTAGTATTTAAAAAGATTTCTTTGTATTTAAGAAATCATTTCTTAGATATTAAGAAATATTATAAATCCTTGATTAATAAAAGAGATTTGAAACGATTCGAAATGGCTCAAAGCGATTAAAAAAGATTCAACTTGACAAATATATAGATATACATTTTGCATGGGTTGAATCGTTTTAAATCTTTTTTTTTAATAAGAGATACTAAGATATATTTTTTAAATACTTAGAAATGATGTTTAAGAAATGATTTCTTAAATACAAATAAATCCTTCTATCAGTGCAGTCAAGAATTTTTTTTAGTGTATAAAAAATGTATGGTCATCCGAAATATTAATTAAAAAAATTTTTTTTTTTTCAGATAGAGTGTTACTGTCCAGAGTCTAATGAGTTAAAAACTCCCAAAAATTCCAGTAAAAAAAAATAACTACAAACATGGCGGACTCAGAATCTCTGGATAACGTAAACTTTATGATAAAACAAGCCATATCAAAGTCAGACGTCGAAACGGTTCGAGAAATAATAAACCAGTACGGCTGTTCTTATTGTCCAGAATGGGACGATGGAGCGAATTTACTCTGCTACGCAATAGAGTTCGGCGAGCAAGAAATAGTCGAGCTGCTGATAAAAAACGGAGCTAAAATAAACTGCGAGCCTTCAATTTACGGTGCTCCACTCAACGAGGCTATTTTATCCGGAGACAATAAGATGGTGAAGATGTTTTTGGAAAACGGAGCTGACATTGACTTGATTCTTCCAAAGTACAGCAATGAGAAAGAATTGCTGCTGACTGCTATTGAGAACAAAGCCGTAGAGATTGTTAAGATTCTCTTGCAAAGGGGAATCCTCGAGAGTAATGATCAGAACTTTGATAAGCGTACTCCATTGGAAGTTGCTGTTTTTACAAAGCAACATGACATATCAAAGCCACATGAGATATCGTTGCAACGCGACATAGTGGAGCTGCTGTTAGAGTATGGAGCTGATATTAACGAGAAGAATGGACACTTGCTGTATCGCGCTCTTACTGGGTACAATCACGAGGAAAATAACGTTCAGATGTTATTAGACTACGGAGTAGATGTGAATAGAGTAGACGAGGAAGGGAAAAGTCCTTTGTATCTTGCTCTAGAAAATAACAAGCCGCCGAATATTATTAGAATGCTTTTAGAGGCTAATGCGGATGTTAACCAAAATGAGTATGGAGAACCATTTTTGTTTGCGATATTAAATTTTGAGGAGATCGATGCAGTCTGCCATGATTATTACAGAATAGTTGTTGAGATGATGATAAGACACATGATTAAAATGAAAAGTCTCAATTTGTCTTTGTCTGAAGAAAATTTGAGGCTGCTTGATGAAGTTGAGTCGATATCCGCGTACAAAACTCGCTGCGAAATAGAAATGCGTGATTTGCCGCTTAAAAAACTGCCTAATTGTACCACTTCTTGTTACGATATCTTGACTAAAGATATAAATACCCTGAGTGCTTACACAAGAAACAGAAATATTACAGTACCAATAATGCTTTCAAAGAATTTTATTAATTACTTTCCAATTTACGGGCCTTCGATTCAAGACAACATAAAAAAAGGAATGACAAGAAGATGGCTATTGGATAGGTGTGCTGAATTATTAAAGAGAAATAAAACTTGTTGTATTAATATTCTACCATTTGATGTTATTTATGGCATAATAGAGTATCTAGACAAACGCGACCTGCTAAATATTCTCAAGACTAATCTAATTACCATTTTGTAGATTTAAGTTCTTGTCTTTGCTGTATTTAATTATCTAACATTCTCAGCTGAATATACGAATTGTAAATACAAATTTAATTGACTAATAGAAAATTATAATTAATTTATGTACAATATCTACAATATTTGGAATTATTTTACCGATTACTTTTGTATCTTTTATAAATTTTAAAATAAATAATTTATTTAAATTTGTTGTGCTAGTATATGAAAAATACTGATTCAATTTTAATTGATTTTTATACATTGATATTGGTATTGAGTATTGTAATAAATGGATATCTTCAAACAATAAGTTTATTGATAAATTAAATTCATTTTTATTTTAAAGATGATCCTGCAGTGCCTAGTAAAGTTTTAAATATTTTAAATAGTTTAATATCAAATTAGAAAAATTTTTTTTTGAATATTTATGATACTAAAATTAGTAGACATCTGTCTAACTATTTTTTTTTTTTTTTTCAAATAAATTATTATAAAAATCAATTTGTAACAATTCCACTTTTAGATATGTGTAAAAAATTTATGAAACTGAAGTTGACTGACATTAGAAATTTTTTTAGAATTTTAAAACAATGAAATTATTATAAAATAAATTAAATAAAAAAATTCCACTTGTGAAAATTAAAAAAAAACTATAAGTGGAAATTTTTAGAAGCATTTTTTTTTGTTGTAATTGATTGGTTATAGAATTTTAAAAAAATTAACAGGTGTTAGCTAATTTCAGTATCATAAAAATTTATTGTTGTAATTTTTTGAAAAATTTTTTGGTTGTAGTAATTTATATTACATTAAAGTTAGATGATAATTAATTTAGCAGATATTTAATAATTTTTAGAATTTTTTTTAACAAATAAATTATGACAAAAAGAATAAGAAAAAAATATTGACATGTAGAAAAATTAAAAAATTATAAATGCAATTTTTTTTTGGTGTAGTAATTTATATTACATTAAAGTTAGATGATAATTAATTTAGCAGATATTTAATAATTTTTAGAATTTTTTTTAACAAATAAATTATGACAAAAAGAATAAGAAAAAAATATTGACATGTAGAAAAATTAAAAAATTATAAATGCAATTTTTTTAAAATAATTTTTCAGAAAAAATTACAACAATAATTTTTTGACTTATTTATAATTCGAATTTTTTAGAAATTTTTTTTTTAAATTCATTTGTTGAAAAAATTCCTGAAAATGATCATATGTCAACAAAATTTAGTATAACTAAATTATTGTGAAGAAATTTTAATAAAAAAATTTCACATTTAAAAAAATTGAAAAAAAATTACCAGTGCAAATTTTTAAGAAATATTTTTTTAATAATTTATTTGGAATGAAAACTTAAATGATTAAATTAAACTATCAACCAAGTTTTTGAGACATCTGTCAGCCACTGAGCGAACTAGTACAAACGTTTGAATTCCTACAAGTGGTGACCTCAGGCAAATTCTCATGGAATCGTTTGAGCGATCTAGTTTTTTATTAAGCCAAAAGTCAAAAGAACTATTTAACTCTAATAAGATTTAAAATATTAATATTAATGTCTTCTGGCCAATCAGATATAATTAAAAAAAATTACAACTTCAATTAAGAATAGTTTTAATTAAATAAAGTATGCGTTGAGTCTCCATATCTCTCATCTACATTTACAATTTGCAACGAACGGCTAAATGAGCTAATTCAGCTGAAGCCTAAAAATTAAAAAAGTGAAAAAGTTACTCTTATGGCCATAAGAGTTCGTCTATTCTCCATGGATACAAGTAACTAAAAAAATAGTCTTTTTATTTATTATTTACTTTTCAAATTAATTAAATAGACGGTTTATTAAAAAATTAGAGGTGCATTGGTGTTAATAAAAATGATTTAAAAAAATTAAATATTTTTTTTTTATTAAATATTAAAATGATAATTTGTTAATTTTAGATCAATCAAAAATGAGACAAGTGACAAATGTTAAGGACTTTCATCATTCTTATTAGCTGGGTGCTAATAATTAATTGATGTACAATGATTGATAGTATGCGCTGGTCTGACCATAATTATCTCCAATTGTTAATTTAACTGTCAAATTATTTGATTAGTTGTCGTAAACAATTGATGTTTTGCTGGAACATTTATTTAAAATGAAGTTGTAGCGCTGTGAAAATAACATGAATAAAATTTCTGTCGATTACTCATCATGCTTTTGATATGTTGCATTTGGTAAGTTTCATAAACTCCAATTGAGTTTAATTAATTCTTTTAAATGTCAGTGCAGAATTTTCTATTTAATTTGTATTATTTTTATGAAAATAAATTTAGCAGAAATTTAATAATTTTTTTTTTTTAAATAAATTATGGCAAAAAAATTGACATGTAGAAATTTTAAAAAATAAAAAATGTAATTTTTTTGAACAAATTTTTTGTTCAAAAAAATATGACATTAAAGTCAGCTGTCACTTGATAATTTTATTATTTTTTTTAATAAATAAATTTGCTTCGAAAAGTTATTTTTAAATAATTGCATTTATAATTTTTTAAAATTTTTACACATCAATTTTTTGCTCTTATTTCTTTTTGCCATAATTTATTTGTTAAAAAAAAATTCTAAAGATTATTTGAATATCTGCTAAATTGATTCTTATAAAAAAAATTAAAAAATTCTCTCATGACTGCTAACTTTAATGTCATATTATTTATTCTCTAATTTACAGAATTTTAATTTATTATTTACTATTTAAATATTTATTTAATTAATTTTATTTATAATAATTAATACTTAAATTATTTACATTTATTTTTCAGATTAAAAAAAGCATGGGTTGTGTTAATAGCCGTACAGATATAAATGATCTGCACCCGAATATATTTCAAGTTATGAATGTTGATGATCTGGGGAATCTCATCACTCCAGGAAGGCTAGAAGTTACTGAAACAGATATTGTACTCTATCAGAGAGGAAGACAGCCAGTTAAATGGCCATTGAAGTGTTTGAGAAGATACGGTTATGACTCTGAAATTTTTAGTTTTGAGTCGGGCAGAAGATGTTCCACTGGCCCGGGTATTTATGCATTTAAGTGTCGGAGAGCAGACCAATTATTTAATCTTGTACAAACAAATATACAGGTATTTTTATATTATTTAAATATTTTATAAAAGCAAATTAATAATAATAATTATAATAAAAATAATCAACAGGCTTGTAATAATGGCGAAGATGCAATATCTCGTGACCTTTCAACCCCTTCATATTCCGGTCCAACGATAACACGTACGACAATACCAAATGAGCCGAATTACCTCGATCCAACACCGCTAAGGCCTAACGGTCGTGTGAATCTTCGGTTTTCACACAGTCAGCCGAATGAAGTCGGAAGATTAGGAAGTGTAGGCAGTAGCAGTGGCCCAATGTCACCACAAGGAACGATGAGTTCTCCATCTCCACCTCCTATGATGTTGCCACCACCTCCTCCTGTTCCACAACCTTATCCGTCCGCTTTGTACGTCAACGATGATGTTTTGTCGTCAATGGCTATGGAGTTGGAGCATAACAATAACAAAAGTTTACGAAAAATGCAAAGGTATTGTGTGTTAACATTATTTTTTTATTAATCTATTATTAAGAGTAAAATTTTTTTTTAGTAAAATTTAATTTCATTGAAACGATTTTGACTTGAATTCGTACGTTCTCAAGGTTTCATATCATTCCAAGCGATAGTTAATTTATAATGATAATTATTGAGGCTGCATTTGAAAATACTCTATCTTTAGCTACATAATTGAGAAATGACCTTTTATCTTGTGAAATATTGACATTTTTAAAGATATAAGCTCATCCCGATGTTACACTCATCGAGACCTTTCATTTAAGTACCCACATCAATTTTTCATATATTTTATATATTTATATATATGTATATATGAAAAATATATCAAAATGCATGTGGGTACTCAAATGAAAGCTCTTGATAAGTGTAACATCGGGATGAGCTTGTATCTTTAAAAATGTCAATAGTTAAGAAAGTATAGTGCAATTTAACATAAGTAAGAAATGACCTTGTATCTTGTGAAATATTGATATTTTTAAAGATATAAGCTCATTCCGACGTTACACTCATCAAGGGCTTTCATTTGAGTACCCACATCAATTTTTCATATATTTTATCTATTTATATATATGTATATATGAAAAATATACGAAAATGCATGTGGGTACTTAAATGAAAGCTCTTGATGAGTGTAACGTCGGGATGAGCTTATATCTTGAAAAATGTCAATAGTTAAGGAAGTACAGTGCAATTTAACAAAAGACATTATTTAATTAAGCAAATTTTATTTATTTATAGTCCACAATTCTCGACAGTCACAGTGACTGCAGGTTGCTATTTATTATTATTATTATTATTATTTTATTTCTAGATCTTGTACTGTAAGTAGTACAACTTCGAGTAGTGGTTTTACATCGGATACAATAGGAATGTTGAATCAAGAAGTACATAATCACAATCGACCGCCACCATTGCCAATGGCCACATATATGAATGTAGATTTAAGCAATGACGTCAGTCCTCTCTCGCCTTCACATAGTAATTCTATTTCAACACCATTGAAAGAAGACATAAGTGAGACAGATAATTCACGACATGCCTATATGAATATAAACCCCAGTCAAGAAAATATTATCGAGTGCTCAAATAATCAACGCACACGACTGCCGACATTGCCAATACTACCGCTGTCTCTTCCAACAGATTGGGATGATAATAATTCCCGTCACTGTTATGCCAATCTCGAGCCCAAAGAGATTGATAATTTGCGTAATAAAATCACTGGAGTCTCTACGAATAATGATAATAAATTGACAACCTTACCACCTACTCCGCCTGTTGAAGCAATACGGGAAGTTAATTACGCTGTATTGGATCTGGATCAAAATAGTATGTCTGTTCCATCGGTTTCTGATATCGCGGCTGCTGCTGGAACCACAGCTAGTTCTGCTACCACTACTACCACTAACGCTGCTCCATCGCCGCCAGAATCCCCTAATAAACTTCAAAAAGGATACGCGACCATAGATTTCAATAAAACAGCAGCGTTGTCGCATTCCGTTAATCCAAATGGCGTGAATGATAATGAAGGATCCAGAAAAACACGACATAATTCAACTATCAACGACTTAGCAACTCCTTCGAGACAAAGCTCTTCGATAAGTGAGTGATTTCATATCTTCCGTTTTATTTTTTTTATATTACATTTTTGTTAGGGGACCTTCTGGTAAAAATTGTATTCAATTCATACAATATGGGTTCTGTTGGATTTTTATGTAATTTTAAATTTATTAATTTTAATATAAGATTCAATTTAGCAGATATTCAATAATTTTTAGAATTTTTTTAACAAATAAATTATGGCAAAAAAAAAATGAGAACAAAAAATTGACATGTAGAAATTTTAAAAAATTATAAATGCAATTTTTTTTTAATAATTTTTCGGAGCAAATTTATTTATTAAAAAAAAAAATTATCAAGTGACAGCTGACTTTAATGTCATAATTTTAATATTTATTATATCTCGAATAATACCAGTGACATGTCGCGTTACAGATGCCATAAAAATGATACGCCCTTATGGCACCCGGGAACCATAAGGGCGTAGAATAAAAATCCTATTTTTTTTTTTAAGTCTAAAAAAAATTTTTAGTTTGAACAAAAATTTTTTTTTGCATATCTGCACATTTTATGAAAAAATACGTCGGTTTCCAAAAAACAAATTTTTTATACGCCCTTATGGCATCCTAGGTGGGTCCCGGGAACCGTAAGGACGTATAAAAAAATTTTTTATTCGGAAATCAACGTATTTTTGTATGAAACGTGTAGAAACGCTAAAAAAATTTTTTTTTTTTCAAGCTAAAAATTTTTTTTGAACTTCAAAAAAATAATATAATTTTTATTATACGCTCTTATATATTTTAAAATTTTTATTATGTTTAGTATATTTTAAAAAATTTTTTTAATTTAACTTGAGAATTGATTAAAAAGGATAATGATTTTTATCAGAGGGTCTCCTTGAAAAAATAATAAATTTTCTAATCGAGAATTCATAGGATCTCGATTATTCAACGAAATGATCTTATAATGGTATTATTATGCCTGCACAATTAAACTATAAGAAAAAGATCTCATAATATGAGAAAATTATATAACTAATAGATTGTGTAAAACGAAAATGCACATTATTGGTATATATATAAATAAATAAATAAATATATATTTAAATAGCTGTTGCAAAGTGTATGGAAGGTAGCTTGTTCATTCAAATAAAACATTTTTGAATGCTAATAACATAAATTTTTGAAGAAGTTAAATTTTATGTGTTGAAAGGACAAAGGTAGAAATGTATAGTATTTTTTATTAATTTGGGTAATGAAAAACAAAAAGAAAAAGAATATTTAAAAAAAAAATCATGTGCCTGTAGTAATTACATGTTTGTAAAATTTTTCCTCAATTGTGGAGAAACAAAAATGATAATATAATAATAAATTGTATAAATTAAGGCACATTACTAAGACAGTTGTAGCTTGACCGACTAAATTTGTGAAATGGTTTTAAGCTTTCACTGTTATGTTGGATTTATGTACACTTATATTTAAAATGCATTTTCGTTATAACAATTGTTACACATTCAAATATGTTATTTACAAGATTTAAATATTCGCAGCTATTTTTTTTTTTTAATTTAACTAATTTTTAAATGAGACAAATATATATTTAGATATATAAAGACATTTGTATGATAGCTTTATTGTAAAAACGCAGTGTTGTATACGTAATTTTAAACCTAGATTATCAGGTTACAAGAATCGTGTGAAATTTCTTTTATGGGGTCATTATTATTTGCTTCAGATTTTTAATTATAAGCTATTATCTAATGAAAGAAAAATTTTAAACTCAATTAAATATTTTTCTAATTTATTATAAAAAAAAAAAATTAAATTTTTTAGCTAATAATTTTCAGTGTTTTAAAATTATTTTTTTTTATTCATGTAAATAAAGTAATTCATTACATAATTATCTTTGTTTACGAACCAACAGATAAGACTAGAATCGAAGGTCATTGATTTAAAAATTCCATTCAGTTTTTTCAGTTATCATAAAAAAAAGTAATAAATTAAAGCTAAGAAAATATTGCTCAAGATTAATGAGAATATAAAATAATTGTATTGAAAAATTTTTCTGTAAATAATAATTGCCCCTCGATTTTCTAGGATTAAAATAAAAGAAGTAATTGGTGCCAAAAATGAAATATTTCATAAAGAATTTTATAGAACAAAAAATATAAACGAAAAGTCTATTATTGTTGAGATATAACACATTGATATTAAAAAAAAAAAAAACAAAGTTGAATGTTAAATTATGTTCTATGTAAGAAAAAAATGATCTAAGTTTTTTACAAACGTACTAAAATTACGGAAATAATATTAATAATAATTATAGAAAATTGTTGTAAATCATAATCTTCCATTTTGACGAACACTCACGTCAGTCTGATAATATTTATTTAAACGATGTGATTATATATAATTGTTTTTAATTCCGACTTTAAGTTAACACGAACATGAACGAAAACATAAAACAAGAACCAAATGATTAATTTAAAAGATAAATAAAATATTAAGATATGTGGAAACAATTGCAATTGCAATTGATCCAGATTTTAAATTCACTTGATTTATTGGTAATATAAATATCAAACTAATTCTTTTTTTACAATCATTTAAAATACCAAATATTTTTTATTTATTTATCTATTGAGGCAATTACGGTGAGCTGAAATTACAAATTTAAGATTACGGAATTATGTTCCATATTTATAATTAATGTTAATTAATTAAAATATAACAATTTAATTTATTGACGTATTTAAAAAATATGTTAAAAATTTATTATTTAAATTAAGTTTAAATATTTTTATATTGATAATTTTTCTTCTATTTCTGTGGATAAAAATCACACAAAAAACTAATTACCTTGTAAAATTAGTAACGATTTATTAAATTATAAAATTGTTTATATTAAAATTTTAAGCGTTGCAAAAATGAAAATAATTATATATATATATATATTATACTTACAATTAGTACGTATAGTAAAAAAACGCACGAATAGTAGTTGACAAAAATAAAATTGCATTGTAAGTTGAATGTATCGTGCAATAATTTTAAGAATTTGTAAATATTGTGTGGCGCAATGTATTTTGTATCAAGCGAGACTGCAAAAATATATTATTTGCAGTAACTGTATCCAATGGCTGTGAAATGTCATTTGCCACAAAAATGTTATGTTTCAATTTAAAAACAAAAATTTATTGGGCGTTTTAAACTAAATCAACCACTTTTAAGTTTATTATTTTATTAAAAAAAAAAGTGGAAGATTCTGTCTATCAATGCTCTCAAATTTACAACATTCAAAAGTACATAAAAGACCTAACAATGACATCACATCATCGATTAATTAAGTATAAAAACAAAAAAAATTATTAATATAAACAAAGAGACAGCGATAATCACATATTATATATATATATTTTAAGATTATATAGAGCATTAGAGGCAAATATTTTATTTTTCTATGAGGAAAATTTCTCATGGTTGATCTTAAACATATATATAATAATGATAAGTAAATTGTATGAGTGTTAAACTTAAATTAAGAGGGAAATATGTGTAGAAAGACCTTTTTATAATGATTTTTTATTTATTTTTTTAAGGTATGAAAATTAATGTTATTTATTGAAACTATCAAGTTATTTTATACATATATATTCATATTTTTCCATATTTTATGAATATATAACTTAAAAAGTAGCGGAGATATCAACTGATACACATCGTAGGTTGTCTTCCGACTTAGCAGTTGGTGTGCACTATGGAAGCCAAAATTTTTTTCTGAAATTAATTGCACAGAAAAATTACTTTTCTTTATACAATTACGCTGAATATGAACCTCCATCATAAGCGATATTTTTATTTAAACTATTTTTTTTTTTAATAAACAATGTATGAAAAAATGGTAAAAATTCATGAAAATGAAGTTAGCCGACATTTCAAAATTTTTAGAAATTTTTTATTGAAAAAATTTCAATTAAAAAATTAAAAAAAAAAAAATTTCACATGTAAAAAACTTGAAAAGCTATCAGTGCAATTTTTTAAAAATATCTTTTAAGTTATAATTTAATTAATAAAAAAAATCAAAAATTTCTAAGAGTCTGCTAACTTCAGTGTCATAAAAAATCACGATTTAATTTTAAAGCACTCTAAAAAATGAAAATTTTTACTTTTTTTTTGGAATTGAGGTTCATATAGGAGATACACATATAAAAATAATATTAATTTTTTATACCTTAAAAAAATTAATGAAAACGGTCTTTTACACGTCTTTTCCTCCCTTAAGAATATTTGATTGCACATTATTGTTAGTATAAATATATAATGCAAAGGTGTGTTTTTTTAGAACAATTATTTTTTCCCCACCTAGAAGTAAAGTACCAAAAAAAAAAAAAATTACCCCTTATTTCAAGTTTTTAAGATTTTAGTTTTAATAAAAAATAGTTGCTCGGAAATCACACACTGCAATGAGTAGTTGAATAGTTGGTATATAAATGAACAAATTTAAAAATGTACTCATTATTGATAATGATGAAAAGTGGTTAATTGAAGTAACCATCACATACAATAATAAAAGAAACGCTACAATAGATCACGCCAAGTCGTATTTTAATAATAATAATTAATATGATAAAATAAACATGTAGTATACAATTATTTTATACATTATTGTAAATATAATAAACCAAAGAAATGTCATAAAATTTATTTGTGCGTCTTTTCGACCCATGCATAATAAAATATATATAACAATGTTATTAAAAAAAAAAAAAAATGATTGAATTTTATTAATATAATTTATTTATAAACCGTACAATTAGTGATTTTACATGTATACCAGTTTAAGTAGACTGTTATTATCACAATATATAAAATAAAAATTCACTGTAGATTAAGAGAAGAATAATTTTAAAATTTAATGAATTGTTTAATTATTTATTATAGTAAAAGTAAAAAAAAATTAAGTAGCAAGTTGACGACGTTTTGTCAATTCGTGGTTGATAATTATCGAAATATCAGGATGACGACGTAGTACTGAACAATTACTAGTAATTAGAGCCGGATTTGCACCGGCTTTGAGCAATATTTTAACAGCATTAACAAAACCGCTTTCTGCAGCTACTTGGAGGGCGGTAAGACCTTCATCGTTAACTTTTTCAAGTTGTGCTAGCGGCGAGGTCACTATTAATGATACTATTTGATGGAAACCTCGAGCCGAAGCCAGATGCAAACAAGTATTACCACCAGCATCTTGTATACTTGGATCTTCGCCATTTTTAAGCAATTTACCCACCACTTCAGTATGATTTTTTCTCGCGGCGATATGGAGAGGCGTTTCACCATACCGTGATATTATTCCAGTCGGTGTGTGGGGCATTAATATATCAGCAGTATTCAAAGCACCGTATTCTAATGATTCATGGAGCGCTGTTTCACCACGATCATTTTTTAAAGTCGGATCAGCTCCTGCTTCTAGTAATATTTTTATCAATAATTCTATTTCTTTTTTATTGTTACTATCTGCAAATTTATAAACAAAAAAAAAATAATTATCACAAATAGTACAGAAATAGGCATATAAATAAAATTTTTAGATTGAATTATAATTATGAGAACTATTGGCATTTTTTAAGATATAAGCTCACTCCGACATTACACTCATCAAAACCTTTCATTTGAGTACCCACATCAATTTTTCATATATTTATTTTTAAAGATATAAGCTCACCCCGACATTACACTCATCGAGACCTTTTATTTGAGTACCCACATCAATTTTTTCATATATTTTATGCATTTATATATATATATATGAATATATGAAAAATATATAAAAATGCATGTGGGTACTTAAATGAAAGCTCTTGATGAGTGTAACATCGAAATGAGCTTATATCTTTAAAAATGTTAATAGTTGAGAAAGTACAGTACAATTTAACATAATTAAAAAATGATCCTGTATCTTGAGAACTATTGACATTTTTAAAGATATAAGCTCATCCCGATGTTACACTCATCAAGAGCTTTCATTTAAGTACCCACATCAATTTTTCATATATTTATATATATTACATATACATATATGTAATATATGAAAAATATATCAAAATTCATGTGGGTACTCAAATGAAAGCTCTTGATAAGTGTAACATCAAGATGAGCTTATATTTTTGAAATTATCAATAGTTAAGAAAGTACAGTGCAATTTAACAAAAGTCATTATTTAATAAAGCAAAATTTTATTTATTTATAGTTCACACATAGTGACTGCAAGGTTGCTAGTAAATAAATAAATAAATAAATAAAATTCAACAACTCATTCTACAATGAAAATTTTTTAAAACTTGACTAAAAAAAATGCTTAGTCTGAAAAAAACGAAAATAAATATATACCAAGTATTGTCGATGAAGCTAAAATATGTAGCGCACTGCGTCCTTGATGATCTTTATCATTGACCGCGCCGGCTTTAGCAAGAATCGAAAGTGTCTCTAGAGCTTCTTCAAAGTTATAGTGAAGACTTCTTGACGGCTGCATGTGTGCTAGCTGTCGTGCAAGAATGTGGAGTGCTGTCAAACCACCTCCAGCTTCTTTAACACTCGGCGAGCATCCATTCTCCAGCAATTCTTTAACAAACTCTTTAACATTACCAGGTCCTCCATTAAGAATAGCTCGATGTAGCGCAGTTTCTCCTCGAGGCGAACGTGCGCCTGCATCGCACCCGCTTGCCAACAATATGCTTCAATAAAAAAAAACTCATTACATTATTACAATCCTAGCAAGTAAACCAAATCATAATAAATATCTAAATAAAATAAATAAATCCAAAACTTACCCCAAGACCGGCAAAGAATGATTACTAGCAGCGACAAGAAGCGGCGGATCACCAGAAACATTCCAATCAGGTTCATCAAGATCATCAATAAGACCATATGTCACCAGCTCTTCAACTTTAGAAGCATCTCCAATCCTGACAGCCTCGTGAAACATTTCAATTCCCTCGTGGTCTATTTCTTTCCTCGCACATTTTTTACTCACATTTATTATCTTACGTTTAACTTTATCTTTCTTCAGCTCAATGTCATTCAGAGTAACTTTATTGACCGAATTTTCAATGTCCTTTATCGAGTTGGTGATCAAAGAAGCGACGCAATTCATTTCTCCGGAGTCGCTTCTGCTAGAAGTTGAAATAGAATCAGAGTCGCGTTTACTTTTATCGTCAATACCGGATGAATTGTATCCGGATGAGTTTCCCTCGCTTATTAACTCGTGGCTTGTGCTCTCTAGGCTGCTCGACGACGCGGCTTCTCCGATGCACGTGTACTCATGCTCGTCCCACGTCCGGATTCCACGAGATTCCAGATATATATCCAGTTGTCTCGTACAAGGCTCCACATCTACATCCACAGTCGCTCTTTCTATTTTATCTTCACCATTAGCTAAGCTTTTTCTTGTATTATTACTATCACTGTTGCTATTGTCTGTAAACAATTTTTTATCTAAATCATTTTTTTGGACTTCAAAAAATGTCGAGTTGTTTGAACTAGTAGTGATTATTTGTTGACACAATAGTGTCTCATCTGTACACGCGGCAGTCATTGTTCTCTTTAAAAATAGTAATGATAATTTTTAAATTCCACTTTAAATACACTTGAGTAAAATCCACTAAACACTTGAGTAAAGCGTGACCCTGTTAAGTGTCCCAAAGTAACAACTTTTATTATTTTATTATTGTGAAAATTAAGTTAGCTGACATTTAAAAATTTTTTAAATTTATTGCAAAAAAATTATGACACTAAAGTTGGCGTCTAAAAATTTTTGATTTTTTTTTTTTTTAATTAAATTACAACTAAAAGATATTTTTAAAAAATTGCTAAAGTTTTTCAAGTTTTTTAAATGTGAAATTTTTTTTTTTTTAATGTTTAATTGAAATTTTTGCAATAAAAAATTTCTAAAAATTTTTAAATGTCAACTTCATCTTCATAAAAAAATTAAAAAAAAAAATTTCATTTGTAAAAAACTTGAAAAATTTTAAGTGCAATTTTTATAAAATATTTTTTTGTCCTAATTTAATTTTAAAAAAAAAATTAAAAACGTCGACTAACTTAATAATAAAGTTAGCCGACATTTTTGATTTTTTTATTAAGACACTAAAATCAGCAGACGTCTAAAAATTTATTAATTTCTTTTTATTAATTAAATTACAACTAAAAAGATATTATAAAAAATTGCACTTATAGTTTTTCAAGTTTTTTACATGTGCATTTTTTTTTTTTTAATTGTTTAATTGAAATTTTTTCAATAAAAAATTTCTAAAAATTTTGAAATGTCGGCTAATTTAATTTTCATTTTTTTATTTCGCTTAATTTATTAATTTATAACTAAAAAAAATTTTTTTGTAATTATTCTTGAATAAAAAAAATTTTTAAAAGTCGGCTAATTTTATTTTTATGACTAATTTTGGTATTATTAATTATTTTTTCACAAACTTGAGAATAAATAAAATTTATTCGCACTTGAACTTAAATTTTGACGCCTTGGCATATAATTGCTTTGTAAAATTAATAATTCATTATTATAAAATAAATTATTAATATTTAAGTTTAATTAATATGATTAATAATTTAAAAAGAAGAAATAAATAAAATAAAAAATAAAAATAATAAAAAATACACACGTAAATAAAAGGGAGCAACAGGCGAATATGCTCCAAAAGCAAATGAGCACTCGATTGCACTGCTCTAACCGGCTTAACTTCTTCTACTTCCTCTTCGAAGTCTCTTTCTTCTCTTTAAATTCATTCCCCTTTTTATTTGGTCATTTTTACACCTCCTTCTTGTAGTATTGGTCTCGCTTTACTCGTCGTGGTGGTGATCTTGTCAGACCCCTCTCTCCACTCCCACGACAACTTGGAGCCGTGCAGAAGTCACCATTGGCGCCGGCAACCAATGGAATGTTTGCGTTTTCTTTATATTACAAATACACTACACGGGACTACTAACTACTACACCCAGAATATCAGCAAACTAAGCAAAAGCCAAAGGCAACTGGGGATTTAAAAAAAAGTACTTTTGTAAAATAAAAATATACTTAATACTCGATGAGTAACTTAACTATATAAGTCTAAGTATTGTATGTGCATGAGTAACTGAGTAAGTAAAACTCCAAGAAGAAAATACAAGACACCCCACTGAGTATTTATGTTTTACGCAATGCTTGTATCTTGTATTCATGAGTGTCTTCCTCTACTTATATACTTCTATATCTAGTTTAGGTTTCAGTAGACGTTTACTTAAAGCTTTACATGCTGATCGTCATTCAGATTTCAGATACGAGCTGTCCTATCGATAGATATAAATATCACCCCGACATCTGTTAATTTATTTCATTTATTTATTTTAAATAGACCACGCTTTAAGATTATTTTTTTATAAATATATTGATACTGTCAATTAATTATTTCAACATTATACTCTTTGAAATTTGCATCAAATTAATTTTTAAAAATTTTATTTAAAATTTTTTTAAACACTTAAAATTAATAAAAAAAAAAAAATTATAACAATTAAATGTACTTGTAATTAAATTCAAGTGAAAATTATTTTTTTTTTATTTTTTAAACAATTAAAATTAATTTTTAAAAATTTTTTAAACAATTAAAATTAATAAAAATTAATTTGATATGAATTAAATATACTTGTAATTAAATTCGTGTGATAATTTTTTTTTTAATTTTTTAAACAATTAAAATTAATGAAATAAAATTAAAAAAAATTAATTTGATATAAATTAAATATACTTGTAATTAAATTCGTGCGATAATTAATTTCTTTAAAATTTTTAAACTAAAATTAATTTTTAAAAATGTTATTAAAAATTTTTTAAACAATTAAAATTAATTAAAGAAACTAATTCTCACACGCATTTAATTATAAGTACTTGATATTAATTCAACTATAACATGTATATTTTAATTGAGTAATTATTTTGGCAATAAACTTATTTAAATGTCCAATTACTTACAACTCTAAGCTAATAATAATAATATTTACTACTAAAATAAAATGGAAGGTTTATTAAATAGATAAATGAAATTAAAAGATAATAAATATTGTATGAAAGTGTATTTTAAATTTTTATTTCAATTAAATGTTTACTTATTTCATCTAACACATAATTAATGTATATTTATTCTTCAGTATATACCCACTGAAGTGAAAATAATTACGAGAAAAATAAAGAACAATAACAATTACCTTGTGTTATTGTTCCAGAATCGCCTACTAAATAAAGGCTCAGAGTTACATGACAATAAAACACATAAAACTAAAATTATATTGTTAAGTAAATAATTATTAGTAACATTAAAAGCTTGAGATCCTTATTATGAAATTGTGTTACTCAAAACTTTCCGTTACGTTCACCATTAGATTTCCTAAAAAATAAAAATCTGTGTTATAATTTAAAATGTAAAATTTAATAACAGAAAGAAAAGAAAAAAAAAACAATAATAATAAAAAATGGTTCCTCAATGGCAGATTATTGAAAGAGTATTAAAAATGCATTTGAAGAACCACTCGTTTAATATTTACCATTTTTACCTGCTGCGAGATCTTGATGCCGATCTTGAGCGGGATCGACGCGGTGGTGGGCTACGATCTTTAGATTCAGATCGGCCCTTGCTGGCCGACTTGGCACGTCTGCCGCTACGGCTACGTGACCGGCTGCGAGATGATGAGCGGGATCTAGAGCGCTTGCTGCGTGATCGCGAACGCGATCGTGAAAATGACCTAAAATAAATATTTATATTATTACAACTGTTTATAATATTTATATTAAATTTAATTCGAAGTTACCTATCACTTTTAAATATATATAAAAAATATATTTATACGTAATAATTCTTCTAAGACTGGCAGACATTAGCCAAGTGTTACAGTTTGTACTTGAAGGGTTTATTTAGTTAATTAAAATTAACAGTAAATATATAAAAAAAAAAAAATAATTGAAAAAAAAAATTTTAAATAAATAAAAAATACTGATTATTAATTGATCATCATCAGTACCAAATATCCAACCCTGATTTTGTTTTTCGTCATAAATATTTTTATACCATTAATTGATGGCAGACTAATTCGCAGGCAGCAGAAGTACACGCGATGGCAATAACCAGAATGTGGGGAGAAGAGCAGAGACAAGCAGACTTATGTAGGTGAATTCACGCGAGGGTCAGATGAATGAAGGCAGAGTAGCTAGATGGGACGACCAAGACGACCAAGACGATGACGAAGGAGCTAGATCGTTTTATTAAATATTTTTTTTTTTTTTATTTTTAATTTGATATTTTTTTTGACTCCTTCATTTCGCAAACAAAAAGGAAGGAACACCGTGAGTAATTCTGAGTTCAGAAGAAGGTGCCAGTGTGCCGCTAGCTCTCTTGTCTGTCATGGATGATGTTCAGTAGTTCAATAGTTATTTTTGTAATATATTATTTTGTTTGTTAAATATTATCGAAATATTTTATCGTGGAAGTATTTGAAGTGTGCTAGCAAAAACAACACACTAGCCACCCCCGTCAGTCGTCATGTGTCTGTTTATTTTGGCGCTCTCTTGGCCCTGCAGACGTGCAGTAGGAAACCCCAATAGTAGGTAGGTAGGTGCTCTACGCTGTAATCTACGCAGTGTGTGTGTCACAAAGTGAACCCCAATGGCGAATCTCGCGAGTATCTCGGTTGCGATTGCATTGCACACATGCGTATGTCTGCTCAGCCGCATCTCCTATAAATAACGGGGAGGATTACATCGGCAACAAATAACTCCAAACAATTGATTTCAATTTTTTTTTTCTTTTTTACCTCCAGTCATTAATTTACTCACCAATTGTTTTAATATTTTTTTAAATAATCATTTGACTTACATCATTTACTTATAACTTTCCATTATCACCCGAAATAAAACAAAAATGCAAATGAATAATGAAATTAGTATTTACTAAATGACCAGATACAATTTTATTAATTATTAAACATTAGGGTGGCGCAAAAAAAAAACCACTGTTTTTTTTTTTTTAGTCTCGAGTGAAAAAATGTTGGTTTTTGATGTTTTAAGAGTTCTCTCCAAAGGACAGCTTAAAAAAAAATTTCTAAGAGGCCGCTCTAAATTTTTTTAAATTTTAAAAATCGTCAAAAATCGAATTTTAATTTTTTTTCTCGTTACGTCATAATTTTATAGACCAAAAAAAAGGTTTTTCTGAAAGTTTCAGTTCAAAATGTAAATTTTAAAAGGTCGCTCATAATTTTTTTTAATTTATTAGTATTTTTTGACTCTGAAATTTTAAAAAAATTATGAGTGACCTTTCAAAATTTAAATTTTGAATTGAAACTTTTAGGAACTTATTTTGTTTGGTCTATAAAGTTATGACGTAACGAAAAAAAAAAAAATAAAAAAAATAAATTTCAATTTTGAAATATAAAAAAAATTTAAGCGACCTCTTAAAATTTTTTTTTGAGCTGTTCTTTGGAGAGAGTTCTTAAAACATCAAAAACTGACATTTTTTTTCACTCAAGACTCAAAAAAAAAAAAAATAGTCGGTTTTTTTGCGCCACCCTATAAAACATGCAACCAAAATATTATTTATTTTTTTATACCTGATCATTTAATGGATTCATGAATTTCAAGGAATAAAACAAAACTCAAACACTAAAAAATTGTTTTAAAATTAAACATACCTGCGTTTGCGGCCACCCCTGTGTTTAGGACAGTCGCGGGCATAATGACCACGTTCTCCGCATTCGTAACACCTGTCCTCCGGATGGAATGGTCGGCCACCACCGCCTCCGCCTCCTCCACCACCGCCACCACGACGAGAACCGCGGTCTCGCATCAGACGTTTTCCATTAGAACGCTCAACTCTGGCTCTGCGTCCGCAGATGGTCCGTCCATCAAGGCCACGAACAGCATCGTCGGCATCTCGTGCGTCCTCGAACTCCACGAATGCGAATCCTGGCGGGTTCCTGGCTACCCACACGTTTCTAAGTGGTCCGTAGTATGAAAAGGCGTCCTCGAGGTCTTGCTTTGTGGCGTTGCTGCCCAGGTCACCGACGTAGACTTTGCAGTCGGACGGGTATCGAGACATCTGTTAATAAATTTATTAAATATTTTTATTTGTAATCGATTCACTTTACTCCGAAAATTGTTTGTTGCGTAATTGCAAGCAGATATGATGTATTTTTCAATGATTAAAGGCCATTAGTTTATAAAAAAAAAAAAAAAAAAAAGCACAATGCTGGCTGGGTTTAATTAATTAATTATTCTACTTACTTGGCTCATTGTGATGCTTTTAAAATACGCTATCTAGCGCATACGCGTTGTTGAAAAAATAATATCTGTATTCTACTGATGTAGTTTTGTTACTAAATATATTTATTGATTTTAACAAACTTGTTTAATGAATACGCTTCCGTGTACTTTCTATTGCGTGCTTATGCCTCATGCGATTGATGAATTTCCGTTTTTCTGTCCGGTCTCTTCCGTTGGCTGCTTACAAAATGGCCGCGCGTCGCTTACAATGAGCGACGGAAACTCGAACTAACTATCGCGCGGACCGAAAGTGGTTGATAAATAATTTTACGATTGGTTGGTTTGAATTTACCGCGTTTTTTTAGGATTAATCAAAACTGGAAACGTGACTGTGACATTATTATTATACTTAGGTAATAATCAATAATGTTATGCGTCATCATAATGGTATTTTTTATTAAAAATAATTTCTTTTAATTGCACGCCTCATAAGCGAAGCGTTTATGAAAATTATAATTATCTAAAAAATTATGAAAATTAATTAAGCAGATTTTTGATAATTTTAAGAATTTTTTTAAGAATTTATTAAATAATTTATTGCAAAAAAAAATTAGGAAAAAAAATTGACATGTAGAAATTGAAAAAAATAAAAAATGCAATTTTTTTAAATAATTTTTTGAAACAAATTTGTTTGTTAAAAAAAATAAACAAATGATCAAGTGACTGCTAACTTTAATGTCATAAAAAATTCAATATTTTCTTATAATAATAAAGTTAGCTGACATTTTTTACTTTTTTATTTTAATTAATTTATTAAATTATAACTAAAAAATATTTTTTAAAAATTGCACTTATAGTTTTTGGAGTTTTTAATTAACAAAAAAATTTTTTTTAATTTTTTTCCAATAATTTTTTAATAAAAAAAAGATCTAAAAATTTTTAGATGTCGGCTAATTTATGTTCATATTAAAAGTGTTTATTAATAAACACGTTAAAAAATTTTTTTATGTTGTAAATTTCTTTAATTTCTGTGAAAAATTTTTTTTTTACTGTTTTTAAAAAAGGAAATTTTATTTAAGTATGAAAAATCATTAAAAAATATTAAAATAAATTAAAAACTAAAATTTCAATTACCTGCGCATGCGTATTCGAATGTCAAAATTCGAGGAATCGAGACTAGGATTCCGACTAATCGATTCCACACATGTATAACTAGACATATGTATACATATATATGTACGCACTAGATATAGGTATGCTATTGTTTGTTTTTATTTGCCTTTTTATCCGGGGTCAGTAATCCTCTGATCGCGGAGCATTTCGCAGTGTAAATGGATACGAAATAATACTTCTTACTTGCACTTGACAGGATTATTTTGTATTAGCAAAACAAATTTTTTAATCACCTCACTAAGTAAAAAACAATTTTAAAAAATCATGAACTGTCAAAATAAAGTTCCATTAAAAAATTTAAATGGTTTTAGTGATGATAAATAATAAAAATAATTAAAAATCTTGATAAACTTGAATAATGAGAAGCAATAAATAATCTTATAACTTATACTGTCATCTCAAGTTTTTAAAATAATAAAATAAATAAATAAAACAGCAAAATGACGTTGCAATTAGAGTCTACGACACCTGAAAAAATGCTTTCTCTAATTCAAGATCTCGCTGACTTGCCTTGCAGTATTATGCAAAAAAATTTAAACAAATATGTGAGTATTTCTTCATTTTTTAATTATTCATACTAATAATTGTTATTATATCATAGATTGTTATGTAAGAAAATTATTTATAATAGATTAATTAATTTATTGTGTCATATAAAATTATACAAACTGATGTTTACGTAAAATTAGAATCTAAAAGTATTAATAAAAATGTAAATTAATGTGGGATTGTTTTTTATTGTTAAAAAAGTTTCAATCAATAAAAAATAAAACAATCAATTACGTAATAAAAATAGATAACGTATTTATAAAAAATTTATTTGTTTACTTTATCGAATTGAGTTAAATAAAATTGTAGGAATTTGATTGAAATTTAATCAATAAGTTATACTTTGACAGCTGATAAAGAAAAATGATTTATTATTTATTGGTTATTTATTTGTCTGTAGATTCAATCAAAATCTGGAGCTAATATATCATTTCTTGCGCCTATTTTACCCGAATCTAAGGAAATGGTGATTCATGTCGTGGGTGAAAAAATACTCGACAGAGGATTAAGAATTCCTATAAGCCAATCTAATGTAATCATCTTGGAATTATTTTTTATTTACCGTAAATGGAGAAAACTTAAAATTTTCTTTTAACTTAAGTACTTTAGTCTAATGGTTTTACTTTTATCGTTCTTATTTATAATTATATTAAATCAAAATGATTTTTTTCGCCTGAGTAAATACAAAAAATTAATTAAATTAACTTCAATAGATAATTGTTGTAAAATATATAAGATAATTATTAATTATTTAATTGGATTATTTGTTAGGCAAACGATCGTGTATTGCATCGGGTTATTAAATCAAGAAAGTCGTTGAAAGTTAATTGTACAGAACTGGACCAAGAATTATTAGAACATTTAAACTCTGTTAGTAAACTGGTACCTGATACACTACTCAGTATTCCTATTGAACATCCTAGCGAGCAGTATATTGCTCTAGTTGTTACGTTGGTGAATTACCCTGAGGATCAAGACACTGAAGATATTTGTATTAAAATTGTCGAAGAATGTTTTCGGTACAAATATAAATGCATATATATATTTTTTTAATTGTTTTATAAAATAAATATTAAATTTTAATTGATAGATATTGCTTGGGAATGTTGTTAAATGTTTTGAGATGTCAAGAAGAAACGCGGTTGAAAGTTCAATGTCAAGATTTACTTACTGTTTCAAGAAAACTTTTTACTCATTTAGGTAACTAAAAATGAATATTTAAATTAATACTTTTATTTTTATGTTGACAATTTTTTTTTTATAACTTTAGGTGACCTGCCGGACTTATTGAGAGAAATAATGGTTGAGGCAAGAAAATTAACTAATGCTGAAAGGTGCTCATTGTTTTTGATAGACCACGAGCATCATGAACTCGTCGCTAAAGTTTTCGATGGAATTTCAACGTCGGATGTAATTATAAAATTAACATAATTATAAAAACTAGCAACCTTGCAGTCACTATGCGACTGCCGTGACTTGTGAACTATAGATAAATAAAATTTTGCTTTATTAAATAATGACTTTTGTTAAATTGCACTGTACTTTTTTAACTATTCATGTTTTTAAAGATATAAGCTCATCCCGACGTTACACTCATCAAGACCTTTCATTTAAGTACCCACATCAGTGGGTACTCAAATGATAGGGCTCGATGAGTGTAATGTCGGAATGAGCTTATATCTTTAAAAATGTCAGTAGTTGACAAAATACAAGGTCATTTCTTAATTATGTTAAATTGCACTGTACTTTCTCAACTATTGGTATTTTCAAAGATATAAGCTCATTCCGATGTTACACTCATCAAGAGCTTTCATTTGAGTACCCACATGCATTTTAATATATTTTTCATATATACCTATATATAATATATGTAAACATATGAAAAATTGATGTGGGTACTCAAATGAAAGGTCTTGATGAGTATAATGTCGGGATGAGCTTATATCTTTAAAAATGTCAATAGTTCACGAGATAGAAGCTCATTTCTTAATTATTGACATTTTTAAAAATGTAAGCTCATCCCGATGTTACACTCATTGAGACCTTTCATTTAAGTACCCACATGGCAATTTTCATATATTTTATATATATGGTATTTGTGAAATATATAAATATATAAAATATATGAAAAATTGATGTGGGTATTCAAACGAAAGGTCTTGATGAGTGTAACATCGGGATGAGCTTATATCTTTAAAAATGTCAATAGTTCACGAGATACAAGGTCATTTCTTAATTATGTATCTAGAGTCAGAGCATTTTCGAATGCAGCCTAAATACTTATCATCATAAATTGGTAAGAATGATATGAAACCATGAAAAGTCACAAACTCAAGTCAAGACTTTTCTAATGATACCAAATTTAACCATAAAAACCCATTTTATCTTATAAATACACTCGTCACAAAATTTTGCTTCTTATCTTAATAATATAGATTATCATCAAATAAATTTAATTAATTAAAATAAAATTTTTATCTACAGGAAATGCGAATAGCTTCAAATCAAGGAATAGCCGGTCACGTAGCAACTTCAGGAGAACTAATAAACATAAGAAACGCTTATGAACATCCATTATTTTACAGCGGAATTGATGAAGTAACAGGATTTAAAACGAGAAATATTTTATGCTTTCCTATACGTGATGAAAATCAAATTATCGGTAAAGAATAATTTATTTATTTTTTTTTAATTTATAATTCTATTAATAAATTAATGCTTGATTATCAAAAGTAAATTATAAATCGATTAGCATTTGTTTGTCCGGTTGTCACGCTATTGAACATTTAAATTAATTTGTATGTTTATTTATTTATAAAGTGAATTTTTAATTAAAATTATTTCCAAATATATTAATTATAATTTTCAGGAGTAGCTCAATTGTGTAACAAAATAAATGGACTGTATTTCGATGTGTGTGATGAGGAAGTTGCTACAGCTTTTAGTATTTATTGTGGAATTTCTATAATGCATAGTATAATTTATAAAAAAATCCAAGATTCTCAAGCAAGAAGTAAACTGAGCAACGAATTAATGATGTACCATATGAAAGTAAGTACTTTAACTTATTGAATGAAAATTTATTATCATTATTTCTTTTTTTATTGCTTCGTGTAATTAAGTAATAAAAATTTAAACGTCATAATTGATATTAATTAACCGATTGTTTACTCACGCAAATCGATAACCATAGCAGGTATTGTTCGAGTTATTAATTAAATGTCATGGAATATGAATAGCTATTATTAGACTACGTTTTAATTGATTATTCCTTTTTATAGGTAGAGGAAGAAGCGGTTCAAGCATTACTCAACTGTCGAGATGATCACAGTCCTAAAGATTTTGATAAATTCCATTTTACGCCTCGTAATATTCCGCATCAACATACGCCTTGCTATGTATTAAAAATGTTTGATGAACTTGATCTAATTACAGTGTGGAGAATAAAACGAAAAACATTAGCTAGGTAATGAAAAAAATTTTTTTTTACTTATTTTAATAATAAAAAATAACATTACAATAAATTTTAAGATTTATACTTTACGTGAAGAAAGGATACCGAGATGCTCCTTATCACAATTGGGTCCATGCATTTTCCGTCGCACACTTTGCCTATTTGATGATCAAAAATTTAAATCTCGTTAAAAATAATTACATGACTCGACTCCAGTCATTAGTTTTTCTTGTATCAGGCTTGTGCCACGATATTGACCACAGAGGGACCAATAATTCATTTCAAACGCAGTGTGGTACTGTATTAGCGAGTCTTTATAGTTCAGAGGGTTCCGTGATGGAACGACACCATTTAGCACAGTCTATGTGCATTCTCAATACCGAAGGTTGTAATATTTTTGAAAATCTTACTAGTGATGAATATAGTGAGGCTCTAGATTTACTTCGAAATAATATTCTTGCCACTGATTTGGCATCGCACTTTCGTTCAATTGATGAGCAAGATGAAATGATTAAGCAAGGATTCAATAATGAAGATCCAATTCATCAAAAACTTTTGCATGCCATGTTGATGACTTGCTGCGATTTAAACGACCAGACGAAGGATTGGAAAACGTCCAAAAAAACTGCTGTAAATATATTTAATTTTTTATTAATAAATATCAAAGATTTTTCTTCAGTATAAAGAACTTAGTATTGATTGTAATAATTTTTTATTTTCAGGAACAAATATACGACGAATTTTTTTCTCAGGGAGATTTAGAAAAAAGTATGGGCACTGCCCCAATTGAAATGATGGATCGCGAAAGAGCATCAATACCAGATTTACAAGTACAATTTATAACAAATCTTGTTTTGCCTTTATTTGAAAATTTATCTACATTATTTCCTACTGCCGACTGTCTTGTTGAAGCAATAAAACGAAACCGTGAAATTTGGCGAGTTGCCATACCTATATTTCACAGATACAGCGAAATAGGAATAAAAGGAATGGATGTACTTTTGGATCCAAGTATTGAAAACGAAATTCTGACTGCCTACCACACACAAACAGTGCCGACATAGACTAAATAAAATATTATACACATTATATTATATATATATATATATATATATATATATATATTAATACTAAAAATCTATATATGAGGTACTGCACGCTAAATCAACCACTTCGACAGCTTATATTTCATGATTATGAATTTCTACTAGTTATTGTATTCAATAAGACAATTTTATTTTTTTTTTTATATTATTTAAGGCTCTTATTAAATATAATAATTAGTAAAGGTTTCAAGAAAATAATAAAAAAGATTTTTAAGTGGTAGGTTTTTCATAAAATACTCCGTATACATATATAAATATTTTAAATTATATTTTTTATTAGCGATAATAAATTAAAAAGTGCTTGTTATTTTTAGATGTTTAGAATACTCTTACAGCTATTTTTATTATGATTACACTGTCTAATGAATATGAAAATTATAAACATTCTAAAGTATCGCTGCTGTTGTGATAGAAATATTTAAACTAATAGTTTATAGTAAATTATAGTGCAAAAATATAAATTTCAGAGCGCTGGCGCCTTTTACATTGTATAAATTATTATTTATCAAATAAGTAGATATTATTTTTAGTAGTGAAGAAGAAACAATCTTAATTAAATTTAATAATCTGCATTTTTATTCTTTATTCTATTATTAAATATTCAAATATCTTTTGATGTAATCTAAAAAAATTCAATAAATAGTTTTTTGTCAAATTCATTTTTGGGTTTTATATTTATTTATTCAAAATATATTTTATACATTATCGATGATGTTTTTTTAAGACATAAATTTTTACATCATCTATTATTTATATCGGATAATTTTAAATTCAAAAATAATATTACCGGTATAAGAAATTATTTAATAACTATTTTTTTTTTGTTTTTTGTTATTTAATAACAAACAAATTAGTGCCAGCATACTGAAAAAGTCATTGACAATTACAATACAAAAATCATTAAAATAAATAATTTCCACTAAAAAAAATATAACCAATCGTTAACAGATGAATCACGAGTGTACCGAATGCCGCTATTACCTGACTCACAAAGAAGACGATATAATTTAATTTATTTCGCGGAAATAAATAATTTTCAATTAAAATAAAAAATAAATTTTAATTGTTGAAATTTTATAGATTTTAAAATGTTAAATAAAATAAAAATTGTTTAAAAAATTATTTTTTTTCTAATTATTAAGAAGTACTTGACTAGCGTAATGATAATCTGATGCTTTAAAATGTAAAAATATAAGATGTATATATGTATAGTTTAATTATTTATTTCTTCAAAAAAAAAATTTTTTTTTTATTTATAATGAAATTTATAATGAAATAAGTAATTTTTTAATAAACAATTAAAAATAATATAAAATTTTCGGATGCTAAAAAAATTTTCAAGTGGTTTTTCCATTTGAATTTAAAAAAATAATTAAGATTGAAATCGAATGTAGTTAAAATTTTCATAACGTGGGCACTGAAGGGATAGTTATGCTTCTGCAGAGCAAAAAAGGTGTTTAATAAAATTTTATTTCCTTCCAATCAACTCAGAAATGTTAAATTTCTAATGAAAATGAAGTTAGCTGACATCTCAAAATTTTTAGAATTTTTTTTATTGAAAAAATTGTTAGAAAAAAAAATTTCATTCGTAAAAAACTTGAAAAAGTATAAGTGCAATTTTTAAAAAATATTTTTTAGTTCTAATTTGATCAATGAAAAAAAATTAAAAACGTCGGCTAACTCAAGTATTATAAATTTCTATGATAGTGAAATCGAGAGACATCTGATAATTTTTAGAAATTTTTTAATTAATAAATAATGAGAAAAATGTACTAAAGAAATTCTATCTTTAGAAGCTCTAAAGAATTATAAGTACAATTTTTTATAAATAATTTTCTAGACCTAGTTTACTACTCAAGAAAAATAAAAAAAATTTTATGTGTCTGCCAATTTTAATGTCATGCTTTTTTTTTTATTTAACATCACTTTATAATGATATATAGTAAATATAGGAAGTAAATAATATTATGTGCAGTATGTTAAAATGTTATTTGAATGTTTCAGATTGTGTGATCTACATCTGTATTTATACTACTACATCCCATCATTTGTTGTCAATTAATAGATTCTTTGTCAAGTCACAGTATTTACGGTTTTCGTAAACTAACAAGGGTATTAGTATTATAATAAAAATATTTTCCAAAATGGTGAACCAAAGAATTTATTTAAATCGTAACGCACTCTCTTATGTTTCGCATCAATTAAATCTAACAAATGTTGGCAACTTAATTATGTGTATCAAGCCATTGAAGATGACAATTTGGAAGGTGTTAGAATGATATTAAATAATGGAATGGATGTAAATGAACCTATAATAACAACTGGACAATTTACTGGTGCAGCAACAATCTTGGTGCAGTTACTAGTTAATAACTATAAAGCAGATGTCAATGCTACGGCTGCTGATGGGACTCGATCCATACATTTGGTTTGTTTTTATCAACCTCATCCCAAGCAAATAGGACTTTTTATTAAAGGACATACATATGGCGCAATAATATATACATTGGTACAAACTAATGCGAATGCTGATGCTGAGTTTGGACGAGATATTTTTTTAAAACATTTTGAAGACAGTGATTGGTGTCCCGATTTTGGTGACAAAATAACACTATACTCATTTTTACTGTTCTTTATGATAGACCATTATTTTTGCATCTACTAGAAGCAAAAATTAACGAAAACATCATAAGTCTTAAAAATAAAACATTACTGATGTACGCTCTCGAGAGCGCACATGACGAACTCTTCATGGAGTTTATTGAAAAACTGTTTAAGGGTCCTACTAAGTTAATAAATCATCGCGATAATTATGGTGTACCAGCAACTCATTATCTAGTCCATCCCAAACAATATGGAAATTGTCGATATTTTGGACCCGCGATGTTCCATAAAATCCGATTTATAATTTAACTCATTATGGAGCTGATATTTATGCAATTATAAACAACGATCCAGCAACATTTTTACCCAATCTAGTAGCTTACAGAGGTTACTCAGGTCTACTGAAGACGATTTTGCCTTATTACACTGACATGTCCTTATCTAATAGGGTTTTATACTACGCAACGCTTCCCATCGATGAAAATTCTGATGATTTATTTCGTCCCCATCCAACCGACTATGTTGAGCGAAGTCGTTATCTGGAAAAAATCAGAATAAAGCGCCAAGAGTCTATACAGGTTGCTGGTAGAAGATTTGGTCCTTAGGCGTTCACTCAAATTATTCGTTCCCAAGGAAGAAATAAAATTGATGGATGAACTAATTACTAACTGACGAAAATATCAGGAGGATTGTAAATGACTACAAAAGAAATTTCATTCAGAGAAAATTGAAAAATGTATGTATGATATTCAGCGGTAATGAAATGACAATTCATGATCTTTTAATGCAAATTTATGATGATAAAAAATTAATGATATTGGCGCGAGACAATAAGAGTCTACAAAAAGTTTGGTCCGAAAATAGATTATTGATCGGGAATTTCGATTTTAGTCTCCTTTATGTGCCAAAGTAAAATAAGAATAAATAGATTTAGCGTAAGGGTAAATCTACTTGAAAAATTGAAAAGAATTTCATCACTCAGAGAAGCTATTCCATTACCGTATAAACTATAGTATTAGATATTGTTGAGTATCTAAACAACGAAGAATTGGACATATTTATTAGTGCTTTTTATAATCCATACTAGCTTACTTATAAAAGGCATAAAATTAAGGAATACTTTTTAAATTCATGGGAATAATTATTTTTTTATCTTTGGTAGATAGAATATTTGTATTTAGACGAGATTTTCTGTAGTTTTCTTTTTTTTTTTTTATATGATGGCAGTTAAAGTACAATATGTGTCGGCCGCAGCCACGATAATAGAGAGAAGAAGAAATATTAAACTTGAAATGAGAATTTTATCTAACAAATATATTTGAAATATTATCAAGCATGCCGCAATACTTAAATTTTGGCACGGTATTTAATTTTATTTAATCGATAATTTTTTAAAATAACTCATATCTAGTAATGTTAAGATTATTCTAAAGTCTGACGTTAAATTTAATAAACTTTATTTAAATTAAGTATTGTATCTATTTTAAGTTATAATATATAAGTGTGAATAAAAATTTTATTTCAATAAATAAGTATAGTGTTTCATTCTTCGTTAAAGTATTTAGTACCCGGATGAACAAGACTTATGTATCATCGGGACGATCGGGATATGCGTAAACGACACCTACCCGTTTTTTTATATCCAGGAATCGACTAGCAGCGCCACCTGGTTAGAAAGAAATAGGTGGTGTCAGAAAGAACAAATTTAAACTTATATAGAGTATAGGTTAGAATTTCTTAATAATATGAAAAAATAAAAACATATTTTTATATATACTACTAAATTAAATTAGTAATTATAATTATTAAGAAAAATTTATAAATAATGGATGAAATAGAGTACAAATTATCTTCAAATAATTCAATTCTTATTACACATGTAAGTATTTATTATTAAAAATAAAAAATAAAGTAATAATAAAATAATAATTTCAGGGGATTTCAAAAATACTTGAGATAATCAAGAGTAAATTAAGTAACAATGAAGATCCTTTAAAGGTAATAATTAATAAATTTATTCAAGTTATTATTAACAATTTCAATGAATTTTTATGAAAGTTAAGTTAGCCGACATCTAAAAATTTTTAGAATTTTTTTTATTGAAAAAATGATTACAAAAAAATAAAAAAAAAAATTTTATTTGTAAAAAACTATAAGTGCAATTTTAAAAAAATACTTTTTTAGTTCTAATTTAATAAAAGATAAAAAATTAAAAACGTCGGCTAACTTTTTTATTATTGAATTTTTTTATAAAGAAAATTTCTAAAAATCTCTGACAACTTTTAGAATGTTTATAACCCATCAATTATTGCAAAAAAAAAAAAACATTTTTAAAAATTTACACGTGAAATTTATTTTCTAAACATTTTTTATTATAATTTAATCATTATAAAAAATAGATTCCAGAACTAAAATCACTCTTCACAAAATGCAAGAGCGAGAACGCCATAGTAAGCCTAGTATCCTGCCACGCAGTGGTTGCCCTAGCAGAGTCGGGGCTAATAGAAGTCTCAGAAACTCTCTCAAAGCTGTCAGCAATGCTAGGAGAAACAAAGAACTACTCGGCAGTGACTTCAGCAATTTGCAGCTTGTTAACTTTGATCTTAAAATCTCACTCCGGAAATTACGAATGTCCGTTTTCAATCCAGGCTCCTCAGCACCCGCTGATAACAGTTCTGAACGAGAAAGCCGACTCCTGGCGCAGTGTTCTAGGAGACATAAAGTCAATGCTTCACGATTGCAAGCCAAAAGCCGTTCGAAACCAGGTGGAGCTCCTGAGGCCTGTATTTGTGTATATAATCGCCAACCCGACCAACTCATCCCTAGAAAATTGCCGTCAGCAGGCCTGGAGTCTCCTCATAAGAACACCAGACGCTCTGGAGCTGCAATTAGAAATCATCCAATGGTTACGCACCATCAACTTGAGCTCCTGCATAACCACCAACAATTTAATTCTTGAGTTTACGGAATTAGCGGTGACAAAAAAAAATGTTAAATTATTTTCCGCTTTAACACCGTTGGTCATGGCTCTGGCTTTGGATCTGCTGAAGCACAATTGCGACCCGAGGTCTAACATAGTTATGATCGAGTCTATTCTTGAGTGTACTGGAACCGAGGACATTAATCAATTTAATTTCATGCACGAGAGCTTAATTTCCAGTGTCATACTTTCAATATTATCTGAAATGCTGGTCATAACACCGGTTATTTATCTCTACGATTTAATTAAAATAGCCGCTTCAATTGTAAATAAATTAGGGTGTAATGAGATTGTGGCTTATTCATTATTAGGCTCGATTTTGCCGTGGATGGCCTACGCGACGCCTTTATCTTCAGAAGCTCTTGAAATTGCCGATAATTTAATAACTACAATCACTACTAAAACATTTACACGCAATAAATACCCTGAAAATATTTACAACGACAATTTGTACAACTACTTGAGCCACTCGAGTCGTTATGTTCAATTTTACACAAACCTGTGTGTACATATCGAGTCATGCGTTAATTTAAACACTTGTCTGGATAAATTGTCAAATATTTCCAAAGAATTTTTGTACAATTATAAACTAATTCTCGGAGGAATTTTTCTCAGCAGTAAATCCACAGAGACAATTTTAAAAGCGATTAATTTACTTGTGAGAATCGCTAAAGAAAATAATTCTTATGCAGGTCATGTATTGTCAATGCTTCTGTACAAATTGTCAAAGTCTAAAGAAATTGAAGTGACTAAAAAATTGTTGTATATTTTACCTGAATTGGCGGTGAGTAAAGAAAATGTACCGATAATTATTCAAACTTTACAGACGTTCCTGGCTGCTGATAAACCATTGAAATATGTGGGAGTAAATTTATTCCTCAAAGCCTGGATGGTCGAGCCGCGCTGTCATAGATATTTAATGACGGGATTGATTGATATGAGCTCTAACGACAAGAGTATGCAAGCCAATATTACTTGCGCGAAAGCTATGGTATTTATCTGCGAGAACAGACCCGAGCATGGAGCCGAACTTGTGCCATTGTTGTCACAAATATTAAATAGATGCGGAGATATAGACGGTAGTGCTGCTAGCGCGTTAGCTTTGAGAGGAATTTCAGCGCTTTGTGATGCTGGTATCGCGGATATTTGCTCAACTTGGCGGGTTTTAGCACCTAAAATGAATAAAGAAGACCGGTCAATTGTTATCAAAAGCTTGTGTGATTTTTTCGCGACTGTACCGACCAATTCTCCGTATCCTGAGGACCAGTTTGAAGAACTGGTCGATGAATCTTTGACTAAACTTTGGGAACTGACGTCTTTTGAGACCACCCGGAACTTGGAAATCATCGAAGCGGCTTTTAAAGCTCTGTCTGCTTACACGATCAGCCAGATAAAAATTTCCGTGCTTCCAGAAGTATTTTTGAAAGACTTGCCGGCGAGTAAAGTTAATTCAGAAGAGCCAAAAATAGAAATGGCCTTTACTTACGTACCGAGCACTTGCTGGATTACGATGCTAGAAACTATTCATGAGCCTGCTTTATCTCTAGCTGGGAATTTGATTATTAAATTCATAACTGATGAATTGTACGGCTTTAAAACGGGAATTTACATGTGGGCGATGGGAGAGCCGATTAATTTTAAGTATCTGCCGGAAAAAAGCCCCGTTAGGGCGATAGGCGAGTACTTAAGACGGTTCAGCACCGAGAATTTGAACACGGAGAAGAAAAAAATTATGATGGAATGCTTGAGAATATTTTCTTACAAATATCCGAAACCTTTGCCGCCAATCAAGTGGGAGCTATTTACTAAAGCGATAAATGTCTCTCCCGAAAGTTGGACGGCAGGTATTACGCTGGCTTGCCATCAAGCGGCGGTCTCTCCCTCGGCTAAAGAATTTCTCAGCAAGTATCTGACGAAAATGACGGAGAAATGTGATAATTCAGATGTTACAATAACGTCCAAAGAATTCAAAGAATGTTGGCATTTGTGTACTCACTTAGATGACATATCCCGGGGAGTTACTTCTGGAGTTCTCGCTCCGTTTTTGGACGTTACTTTAAACTGTATTATTGACAAAGCGATGGTCAATGATGAGACTGCTGTTGATATGTTTGATCATCTTATGGGATTTTATTCTAAGACTTTAAAAGACGATCTTGTTCATTTTGATAACAAAACATTGATTTTTGGAATTTTGGAAAAATTGTTTGATAAAATTGACGTCGATAGCAAAATTTTTGAAGCTTATACCAAAGCTTTGTTGGAAATGACAGCTGAAAAAATAGAAAGAATTACTCTTCCTAATGTATGGGAGGAAATTACTAATGATAAATTAAAAAAAGCTATTATTATTCGCGCAGGATTAGTTTTAAAGCGCGATAATGAAATTCCATTGAGTTGGATGAATGAAATAATACGTGTGTCTTCTTCAGAACCTGGGTATTTATTTTTAATATTATTTTTACGATACTCGACAATAGTTTTACTATCTAATTATAATTTATTTACATTAAAAAATAATTTATTTCAGAGTTCAAAAATGCTTACTGAGTAATATGAAAAAAATTCAGAGTAAATTACTGACTGAAAAATCAAATGCTACGTGGTCTTGGGACTTGATGTGTCGCATACAAGCGACGATTGTTAATTCCCACGACAATTACTCCCTTGAAACGACAACTTCGCTCTGTGATATTTTATTTGTAACAATAATAGTACTTGCGTGTGACGATTGTTTTATAGAAAATTACGAGTCGCTAATTACATCGCACGATATAAGAATTCAATTATTTCCACATGCTATGGCTACTATTATTTTGATGCCATTTTGGAAGGATATTACCCAACAGGTACACAATATTTACAACACGAATTTTAAACAAAACTAAATACTTCCTAACAATCACATGTTATTTATAATTATAAACTATAAACTACAACTACAATCTAGTCCGTTTAAATCTAATTCACGGTTATTTTCTTTGGCTCCGTGTCTTTATTTATCCGTAATAATTTCTAATGACAAAAATTTCTCATGCAAAAAATTTCTTTCCCGTATTATTATGCCCTTTTATTACAATTTTTGTGTAGTGTTTAAAAAAATTAATACCGAATAAATTTTGACAATGAGAAATAAAGCCTTTAAAAAAATATTATACAAAAAATTATTGCTGATAAATAAATTTTTGTCATTAAAAATTATTACGGATTAATAAAGACACAGAGCCAAAAAAAATGGTGACTATTTTTTTTTTACTTTACTTTAAAATCTATTGTTTCAGATTATGGAGTGGCTAAACTTTATGAGAAATAGTACACTACCTACGTCGTACAAAATTGTTTTTCACAATACACTTGTGTCTCTAAAAGAACAACGACACCTCAATGACTTGTGGCCAAAATATTTGTCTGTTAAAAGTCCGATCCAGTTATAATAAACTTTGTTAATATAATTAAAATATCGCTTTTCATAAATATTGTGTGCGCTTACCCATTAGACTTATAAATAAATTAATTTAATCTTACAATTAATTCAGTTAAATTAAGTAATAAAATAATTATTTATATAGTCTCGTCACATGTGCTGGATGTGACGATATTCATAATGCTAGACAGACGTCTCGGTATTGTCTAACGCCATCACTGTCAAGGTATTTGGCCGCGACCCGCTGAGCACTTGTTCCTCTGGAGGCCTCATTCGTGGTTCCAGGATGTTTCTTTTCGTCTCAACGTTTTTCTTGATCGGCGTACGACTTGGGCTTGATTTTCTACTGCTTGGATATGATTTTAACAGACGAGCTCTGTGAATAATTAAATTAAATCAGTTCGATTATAAAAGAAAAAAAAAAAAATGACAAATAACTTACGCATCAATAAGTTTTAGGTGTAGTCTAGAGTACACTTGGTACTCCTCATCAGTAAACTCAGTCGGATCATGTCTAGCATGTTCATATAAATCACAAAACTGATGGATCATACGCTGTCCGCTGCCATTTAAAGCCGCTGCGAGTGTTGTTAGTAAATAAGCTCGCAAATTTTCAGTCGGGTGACGTTTTAAACAGTTGTCATATTTTGTTATTTCTGCTTCTATAATTAATCGATAAATCCGTTAATAAATCATGAAAATTAATGAAGCACATATTTAATCATTTTAAAAATTTTATAACAAATAAATTATGGCAAAAAAACTAAGAAAAAAAAAAAAAAAATTGACTTTAGAAATTAAAAAAAAATAAAAAATGCAATTTTTCAAAAATAATTTTTTGGAACAAATCTTTTTGTTAAATAAAATTAAAAAATTTTCAAATGACAGCTAACTTGAATGCTATTAATAAATCATGAAAAATAATAAACTAAGATAAAAAATGGAAATTTTAAGAATTTTTTTAAACAAATAAATTATGGCAAAAAAGTAGAAAAAAATTGACATGTAGAAATTTAAAAAAATAAAAAATGCCATTTTTTTAAAATAATTTTTTGAAAAAAATGTAGTTGTTAAAAAAAATGATTAAGTGACTGCTAACTTTAATATCATAGATAAAAAAAAAAGGCTTGTAAGATTCTTACCAAGAGTTTTAACATCATCTACAGCTTTTAAACGATAATAATGAGGTGGTACTTGGCTTCCTGGCTCCATAATATATCTAGGATCACTAATTAACTGTGGTTCGTGTTGTATCCTAGGAATTACTTGGATTCTCCTCTCTAGTTCCCTCTTCAAAGACTAAAAGTAATAATGTCATATAAATATTTTTAATTTTTCTAATTATTTTACAACTTTAACCTTAACAGTGTATACAAACTTTTTTAGCATCCTGTCCTATAGAAATGTGAGGACCTCGACGAGATCTCAACGCGAATCTCATAATTTGACGTTTAGCAAATATAAACAGGAGTAAAAAAGTTAAAACACCAGCAGCTATAAACACAACAATTGTCACTCCTGACAGTTCTTCTGTCATGTTGAAAGCGTGACTACAACTATCAGCTGATCAGCTGATTCTTAGCTCGTTTATCCACAGCGTCGATACAGTAGGAAATTTAATTACACCCCCATCACACAACTTTGCAATTACAATTAATTTTCTCAATTAGCTGCATTGATATGCCAGAAATCACGGTGAAAGTTCATTTTATTCAAAAGGCTCTCCATCGCTTTTTTAAAAATAGTTTCGTTGATAGCTACTATCTCGTCCAGGGAACTCTTTTGTTCTCCGCTAAACGGTGGATTTAGTTTAATGAACGACAAAATAAATTTACTGTAATTTTTGTCCTTTGAGAAAGTCGTCGACTTGTCTAGTAGCAGCTGGATCAATCGGTCTTTTAAATTATTGTCTATTTTAATGTTTATCAGCGCGGGAATCACTGACATATGCCAGACTTTTATCTCTTGAATGCTTGTTAAAAAATCCCTAAATAATAATTTAATATATTAATTTTTAATAATTATCCTACGCTAAAATTGAAATTAATTTAGCGGATATTTATTTTTTAATAATTTTGATGACAAATAAATTATTGCAAAAAAAAAAAAATATAATCCTGACACTTAGAAATTTTAATAAATTAAAAATGCAATTTTTTAAAAATAATTTTTCATTACAAATTTTTTTGTTTAATAAAATAGAAAAATGATCAATTGACAGCTAACTTTAATATCATTAAATTTTATTGAAATTACTTACGAGATAAGTTCAGCTTTCTGCTGTCGTGGGTAATTTTTTATAATATCGCATACTACTGAAGTGTCTTTCAAATCAGCATTTACCAAAGGAATGAATATCAACTTCTGAACATCTTGAAGGAACTTATTCATTAATTTATTCACTGCAAGGGTGATAATTCTTGCCGGTTCTTCTAAATCAACAATCTATAAAAAAAATTATTTTAATACAACCTGGAAAAAATTATAGGATTATTAATAAGTACCTTTTGGAGTAATAATTTAGAACAAATAGGTTTAATATATTGCACAGCACAATCTCCTTGCATGTCACACAAAGAATTACACAGGTCATGAGTATGATTCAAGTTCAACCTTTCAGCTAATTTTTCAATCACTGTCAAAACTTCAGAGTCCGTCAAATCTTTCAAGAACTCGGTATTTAATTTCTTGCTTTGCTCTAGGGCTTCAAATAAAATTTCCACGACATTATTCAGATCAGCTCCCTTGATCTCTTGAAGAGCAACAGGTGTCGCGGGTTTCTTACGCTGGACTTGTGTAAAGAAAAATTGCGATGACGGAAGCATGGACTCATCACCTGACTCGTCTTCGTCGACTTCATCAATTTCCATAGATTCATCTTTTTTTTCTATTTCTTCTTCGGTTTCCTGGAGGAAAAATATATTTTTATTAGTGAATAAATAATATTTGACAGATGTTTACAATGAACTAACCTCTGAATTAAATAACCTATGCCAAGCAGAGTCACTAGATTGATAAGTTGGCTTTAATAACTCTTCATGATTTGTTAATTTATTTATAGTCGCTTCAGAAAGGGAATATTTACCAAAATAGCTTGAATTATTCATTTTTAACTTTTTTTTTAAACATAAAATTTATAGAGACAAAAATTCTTGTGTTTTTCACGTGTTCATATTTTGACAGATGGCGGTGAATTTGAATGTCAGTGAAAATATGACGTGTAAAAAAAAATAAAAAAAATCATGATGATGAAGTTTAGAGACATCTGATGATTTTTAGAATTTTTTTTTTAATAAATAATTTACAATGAGAAAAATATGTTTAAAAAATTTCTTCTTTAGAAATGAAAATTAAGTTAGCAGTCACTAGAGAATTTTTAAAATTTTTTTTAACAAACAAATTTGTTCAAAAAAATTACTTTTAAAAAATATATATTAAAATTTAACAACATGAAAATTTATCAAAAATTTTTATTTAATAAGAAAATAAACTATAAATAATAATTCATTACTCCTTTTAAACATTCCTGTAAATTTTATAAATATTATTTAATTTTATATAAATAATCACAGAACAGAGGAACAAGAATCGTTGGAATCATTTTTAAATTTCTGAATTTTAGAATGTAAATGTTTCAACGATTCAACTTTACGACGCTGACTATCTTCAATATTATCCCTCGCGGCATAAATTCTTCTCAAATTTAATCCCAGTAAATCCAGCTGGATCTCCGCTAATTCCTGAAGAAGTTCTATCGACACCGCGATGTAACACTCTGGTCTCACCTGGCGAAGAATAGTACTCAGCGTTTCTATGGCGTCTGCTCTCAGTTTTTGGACTGAATACTGACTATAAAAAAATACAAAATTAAAATATCTATAAGTAATTTCTTTATAAAAATTCATATAAATACCTCTCGATTTCTTCTTCATAGAAAGCCAAACACCGATACAGCTCACTCAAATCAAGGATTGCATTAACATAGTCCATAGGATTGGATTCAAGCGTATAAAACATGCGTATTTTCGTGAGATAATTATGTGAGTAATTAAACAAAATTCTGGCTTCACATGTATTCTCAACCAAAGTCGTTGAGACTTGACTATCAACATTAAGTTTAAATAATAGCTTAGTTTCACTACTGAGTTTGTTATCATCTTCACCAGTATTCTCTTCTTCATTTATCTCTTTAATTATATCTTCACATGGCGGGGACAAAAGATTGGTTTGTTCCAATGCTTCTGTGGGTGACAAATCTTGAGATAAATGCTCAACCATTTTCGAAATTGATGCATTGAATAAACTCAGGCTGTACTTGACCCAGCCTTTGGCAACAATCATCAATTTTTCCTGGACGCTTTTCAATCTAATTAAGCATATAAATTATTTATCAAACATTAATAAAATATGAAAATTAATGTAGCACATATTGAATAATTAAAAAAATTTATTAACATATAAATTATTGCAAAAAAAAATTGACATCTAGAAATTAAAAAAAAAATTAAAAATGCAATTTTTTGGAACAAATCTTTTTGTTAAATAAAATTAAAAAATTGTCAATAAGTGATAGCTAACTTTGATGTCATTAATGAAACATCTAATAAGTATGACATTAAAATTAGCTGTCACTTCACAATTTTTAAAATTGTCTTTAATAAATAAATTATAGCAAAAAAAAATTATTAAAAAAATGGACTTGTAGAAATTTTAATAAATAAAAAATGCAATTTTTTTAAAATAATTTTTTAAAACAATTTTTTTTGTTAAAAAAAATTAAAAAATTGTCAAGTGACAGCTAAATTTACTATCATCTAATAAGTACAAAAATAAAATTTTTATTACTTGTCTGAAACTTCTTTTGACAGCTCCAATGCTTTTAATTCGTCTTCATATTTCTTCAGAACAAATTCAGCAGCCTCTAAATGATTCTTCGCTTCTCTAAAATAAAATAATAATTAACTTCTTTACAATAAAATAAAGATAAAAAAAAAAATACATACTCAAACCGATTGTTTGCCGACAGGTAGGCAGCCAAAGTGGTCGACTTGAAAGACCAAACCAGCGGCTCTTTGTCATCCAGCAACAGCTGACGATCCAACACTCGATGATGATATTCCGCGAACTTATCATGCAGTTCCATCTTACTGTAAACAAACGCCAGCATTTGGAGATTGTTGGTCACCAGATGCTCCAGCCTGCTGGTGGCATTGGTCGTCGCGAGAAGAGTACCGGCAAACAAATCATCGCTGCTCCAGAATCCATTTTTTATATCAGCTGTTTCGTAAACTTTTTCACCAAGCTCGAGAATTTTTCTCGCCTCAGTATAGTCTTCTCGCTTGGAAAGAAGGTAAGCGTAATGATTTATGATTCTCAGTGACAAGTAAATTAATTCTTTTGAGGTTATGAAGTCATTTATATCTTTCAAACACTGCGCCAAAAGTTCTTCTGCATCTTGATGCTGGTTCAAGTTTGTCAGCAATTTTGAGCGTTCGTACAACAGTGTCGTCTTCATTCCCAGCAGTAGGACATTCTGATCTTCTAAAACTTTGATCTCTTCAATTTTATAAATTGATTCTTCAATCAATTTATTTATCTGATCAGATTTACTGTCATCTGATTCATTTTCGTTATTTTTCTGTGATTTTTGTAATTGTTTTATTAAATGAAAGTTCTGATTCAGTAATTTAAAGTCTTCTTCATATTTAAGAGTGTCCATAATTTTTTTTTTTATAATTTATTTACTAATTCAACTCAAAATAATAATCAGTTTTTGTAAATATTTGTTTTTTGACATCAGATGATTATTTTATTCAAAATAAATGCGCGTACGACTAATTTAGATGTCACCAGCTGTCAGTGTGATTATCTTAACCTCAAAGTTCCGGATAAAATGCCAGCATCATAAGTTTTATTATTTTTAAATTAGTATCAACAAAAAAAAAATTTATTTATTTATTTATTTATTATTAATAATTAGTGATTTTTATAATTATAAAAATATACACAATGGATATTGAAACGGAAAAAGTAATAGAATTAGTTTTTCCTGATGGAATACCCGGTAAGACTATTTACAACTATTTGAAACTGACAATTGTTTGCTTAGACATCAATATAATTTTTCAGATTCTTGGAAAGATAATCCGGATTTCTATCAATATCTAACGAAACTCGGTGGCCTTGATGTCGACCAATTGAGTAAGTAATTGACAATAACAATGATAACATATGACGATTTTAAACCACTATAAATCGCAGACAGCTCACAATTGTTTGGGTCTTTTTTTTTCTTTCAAAAAAATTACTAAAAATTTACTGATAAATATTTTGAAAAAATTTAATCAAATTTTTTTTTTTATTTTTTACTCACTTACAACTTATCTATTTTGAAATAAAAACTTCATACGTCATGCACTGGAAATACAAGTCATTATTTCAATAGATATATTTTTTTTCTTGATAAAAATAAGATTAAACACGAATAAAAAATAATTGTTGAAAATCATTTTTTTTTTCTTATATAATAATAATATTTGTTAATTAATTCCAGTGAAGGAACCAGACCATCTGACGGATGAAAAAAATTTAGCATTGCAGAACACTCAAGAACTTGCGTATTCAAACTACAAAACATTTATTCAGACAGCTGAAAATTGTCACGAAATATTCCGTGAATTTAATTCCAGCGAAAACCACTTGGAGAATTTATTAGAAAAAATTCCCGTGTTTGTCGATAAATGTCAATCATTTTGCGACAAGTCTAAGGAAATAAACAGTCATAGGCGCTTAAATGATTTGACTCTAAAAAAAAGTTCTGTAATACTGGAGATCTTGGAGATGCCCCAGCTTATGGAGACGTGTTTGCGGAGCAGTCAGTACAACGAAGCTCTGGAGTTGTCGCAGTATGCTCGGCAGCTAGGGTCCAAGCACAGTGAAATCCCAATTGTGGCCTCGGTGGTAAAAGACATAGAAAACAGCTGGTCGGGGATGGTTGGCCAGGTTGTGGGGTCTCTTCGCGGAGACTTACCTCTGGCGAAATGTCTGCAGTTAGTCGGCTTACTGAGGTCGATGGACGCTTTTACGGAAGCCGAGCTGAGAATAAAATTTCTTCAGGCTCGTGATAGCTGGTTCCAAGGATTACTCAATGCGATTCCCAAAGAAGACTCCAATTTTCATCTGACGAAAACTATCGAGCTGTCACGAATTCATTTGTTTAACATAATTACTCAGTACAGAGCGATGTTTAATGATGACGACCATTCAATTGTGGGTCGTGATAATGTTATCAATGAATCTGCTATTTTTTGTCACTGGTTGGAAGAAAAATTGTCACAATTTTTGGCAACATTGGAGCATGATCTGCCTAATGTTACTTCTATTGATTCAATCTTGGGACAATGTACGTACTTTGGATTGTCATTTGGAAGAGTTGGCGCTGATTTCACCACTAGGATGTCTACGATATTCATCCAAGTGATCAGTAATAAATTCTTGAAGAATATTCACAGCGCTATAAAGAAATTTGAAAAAGATATGGAGACTTTTACCTTAATTAATAAATTACATCGTGCTGATGTTAAACTTGATACGGAAATTAAATCTGTAAGATATTTTTGTGTTAAATTTATTAAGGGAGAAAATACGTGTAGAAGGCGTTTTTATTAATTTTTTTAAGATATAAAAAATTAATATTATTTATTGAAATTATCAGGTCAATATTTTCCATATTTTACGACAATGTAATTTAAAAATCAGCTGATATCTCCTCTATTTGTTAAGTTATATCGAGTATTGTTGTTTAATACGAAAAAATATAAATATATGTATAAAATAACCTGATAGTTTCAATAAAAAACATTAATTTTCGTACCTTCAAAAAAATAAATAAAAAATCAGCATAAAAATTGTGATTTTTATTAATTAAAATTTTTAATCGCAGGAAAACCCTCCAGACCAACTGGTTAATTTTTACCCACTAGCTGAGTACTGCAATGGTTTAATCTCGACTTTCAATGAACTAAGATTATGTTCTCCAGTAGCTCTGTCAGAATTCTGCACGTCTACGCTTGAAGAATCGCTAATGAGTGTCGCCAAGGGGATTCTAGTGTTCTACAAACAAGAGCAGCAAGCTTTTACCGCTACTGAAAGAGATAATATGGTTAAATTTGTGGAATGTTTCAGCGATCAGCTGATTCCTTATGTTCAGTTTTGTATACACGCTATTTTTCCTCAAGTTCAAGTTGCTGCTCATCTTGGAATTACAGTCAACCAACTCCAAAAAGAGGTGAAGTATATTTATTAAAAAATGATAGAAAAAAATTTTTTATTTAAAAAAAATTTTTTATTTATTTTTTTTTAAATAAAATTTTTAATATTTATTTTATTTAATTGCAGGGAATTACGTATTTAAATCGAAAGAAAATCGTAGAACCTTTGATTTCTTTTTTACCTATAAAAAGTATGGTTCAGGATCCATTGATCTCGATAACTTTACCAGAATCTTTGAGCCAGCCTAGTACTCAGAGAAGAGTAACTTTGACGGTAGAAAAAACTCCAGAATTAGAACCAGTAATAAATATTGCTGAACCTCAGACTAAAGAATCTAAAGTTGAAGTTGAATCAAATGAAAAGCTAGACGATAAACAAATTAAAACTAATGATAATGAGGAATAAATTGTTAAGTCAATTTTAACTATATATAATTTATCTATAAAAATTAAAAAAGAAATTGTATTATATTTATATTTATATTTGAATTTTAATTAAAATTTTTAATCAATAAATAATATTATTAAACATTTAGAAAAATAATCAAACTTAACTGAAGATCAAAGATCAATTCGTTTTCATAAATTCATGACAGATAGTTTTCTCGGCAGCTTCTCGGTTGTTTAAAATTCCAGGATTCGTTTTTCTTCGACTAACGTTATTATTATTACATTTAACAATTGGCTTATTGGACCTCGAAATAGCCTCATCAGTGGAAGTTTGAGGGGGTTGATGTGGTAATTTTATAATTAGTACTTCATTATTTAGCATGCTTTCATTCTCGGGCAGTGATTTTAGTCTTTTGTTGTCCAGTTCTTCGTTATTGGTATCGGGTGCTCGACTTGTATCAGACTTAAGATGATCAAGTTGACTCTGCAGCTTCTCCACTTGATCAATCTCTCGTTTTCGTGTCTGTCGAAGGATTCTAACTCGTCGGCGCAACATATTGAAATTTTTCTGAGCTTCTGTGTATCTTTTTTGTAAATCCGCTTCCGTCGTACTGTAAATAAATAAAATTTTGCTTTATTAAATAGCTTTTGTTAAATTGTACTGTACTTTTTTAACTATTGACATTTTTAAAGATATAAGCTCATCCCGATGTTACACTCGCCAAGAGCTTTCATTTGAGTACCCACATGCATTTTGATATATTTTTCATATATACATATATATGTATAATATATATAAATATATGATAAAATATATCAAAAACGCATGTGGGTACTCAAATGAAAGGGCTCGATGAGTGTAATGCTAGGGTGAGCTTATATCTTCAAAAATGTCAATATTTCATACGATAAAAGATAATTTCTTAATTATGTTTAATTGCATTGTACTTTCATAACTATTGACATTTTTATAGATATAAGCTCATCTCGATGTTACACTCATAAAGAGCTTTCATTTGAGTACCCACATGGATTTTTATATATTTTTCATATATACATATATATATACTATATATAAATATATGAAAAATTGATGTGGGTACTCAAATGAAAGGTCTTGATGAGTGTAACATCGGGATGAGCTTATTTATTTAAAAATGTCAATAGTTCACGAGATACAAGGTCTTTTCTTAATTATGTATCTAGAGATGGAGCATTTTCGAATGCAACCTAAATACTTATTATCATAAATTTACTATTGGTGAGAATGATATGAAACCTTGAAAAGGCACAACTCCAGGTTAAGACCTTTCCTAAGATACCAAATTTAACCATAAAAACCCATTTTATCATATAATTACACTGGCCACTAATTTTTTTTATTCTCTTAATAATATAAATAATAATTGTTAGAAAACTTACATTGGCTTTTGGCTACTAGTATTTTGACTTGATTTATTGCTAATTTTTTTCAAGTCTTTGAGACTTAAAGGTTTATCATTAATCACAGGTTTTAAACCATTAATTACATGAGTGTTTTCAGGAACAGTCTTCGATTCATTATTCAAAGTAGTAAGTTTTATTTCGTCATTCGAAATTTTGGTATTTTCATTTTTTAAACTTTCATTAGGTTCTTCTTCCGCTTCTGAAGAAATTGCACATTTAGAAACTTTCAATTCACCTGTTATAGGGTCTAAACTAAAAGTAACGCGTCTGTTTAAGGCAACATTATCAATCACAACTTCTTCTTGGTCTGTTTCTTCATTCTTTGCTCCGCTTTTACTTTTATCCTGCAAGAACTCTGATAAATATTGCTCCTTGGTATAATGTCTGTCGACTTGAATTCTGAGTGTCAGTTTCTTCTTGTCTGGCTCTATAATATTTGACGCTACATTATTCGCAACGACAGGACTGTTATTAGCCACTGGAGTATTGTTGTCAAAAGGAATTAAAATTAAACAAGGATTTGTAACATTTGGAGTACTTTGTATTGACACCGGAATTTGATTCGGTAATTCAGCGCTTTGATCTACTTTAGGCAGAATTTTTCTGTACCTTTGCCCGCTAATTATTCCCGGCAGTTGTTTTACGAGCTGAGGAGTCAAAATTACTGGAGCTGTACCCTGAAATGATATCAGTTTCATATTTGTATTAGTTTGATTTACTAATGGAGTTTGAAGTCCCGGAATGACTTTATAACTTGGAAATATCATCGGCACAGCACCAGCTTTTAATTTCGGATCGCTTCCAGCTAGTGTTTCAATTTCTAGAGAAGAAAAATGCATCGCACATAACTTATCATCTTCTTTTGGCATCCAATCTTTTTTTCCTATTTGCGTAATCCATTTTTGAAGTAAATTTTTATCTTCAAATGGGAATCTGTAAGCAAATAATTGATCAAAAAAAATCCTAAAATTATTTTATTTATTATTATTATTAAAAAAATACTATGAAATTATAGTTAGCAGTCACTTAAAAATTTTTTTATTTCATTTAACAAAAAGATTTGTTCCAAAAAATTATTTTTAAAAAATTGCATTTTTTATTTCTTACAATTTTTACATGTCAATTATTTTTCTAATTTTTTTTTTGCCATAATTAGTTATAAAATTTTTAAAATTATTAACTATATGTTAAATTAATTTTCATAAAAATACTTGATAAAATAATTAAAAATTTTTTTCATTCACAAAAAATAAAATCAATTGTTTTTTATCATAATAAACTTGATATTTATAAATAAATACTTACTTAAAATAAAATATTTTTTTATCTAGAGACAGTTTATTGCTTTCACATTCAATTATACAACACCGGTTCATTTTATTATTTCTTTTTAATATTTATTTATTTATGTAAAGTAATTTTTCTATTATAAATTATCAATTATTAAAAAAAAAATATAACTTCTAATTCTAATCACAACACAAATATTTGTCAAAAAATTCAAGAAATACAATAACTTTAACCTCATTGTCATAACACTTGTTTTATATTGAAGAAACTACTCCTACCGGCAACAGATAATTTTCCGCGGGAAATTTAAACTTATTATTTTTATTATTAAAAATTAAATATGCTGCCATCTAGTCCGACATTATTTATTTTAATTATCAATTTAATCGGAATGACGTGATGAAATTACAAAACAAAAAATAACCTCAGTGCTCAGTGTGATGATCAGGTAGTCAATAAATAAATTACATGTCAGTAACAAACAACATGTCAATAATTAATCAAATAAATTTAATAATTTGATAATAAATTTTAAAGTTGCAGGTTCTAGACGCGAGTGACATTTATTTGAATCGTGGTTTAAAAAAGTGCTTCTTTATGTTGGTCATTCTGTTGTTTGACTTGCACCAGCTGACGAAGGCATATCTCCAATGACAATCGTTTTCGTGGTCAACACTCAGACACATTTGTATTTCCAATTGTACAGCAGGTTAGAAAAGTTATCACTCTTCACTGATGTAGTGATTTAATTACTAGATTAATAACATATAAAGGACAATTCAAAACAAAAGGAAACAATCAGCTGCTGAAACATGAGTAATTAAATTGGTGACATTATTTAAATTCTTCACTTACAAATGACTAAATAAAAAAGAGTAATTGCAACAAAACATTTAATGATTTGTCTGAGTATATTGAGGTATTAAAACACAGTTCGTGAGTGTATATTACAATAGTAAACGTAAGAATTAAAATTAAAGCAAGTCAGGATGCCTCTGGTCGCTAGAAATTGTCCTCACATGTGTACTCACTCGGATGTCTCGCTGGTAGAGGCGGTTATAGCCCAAAAAGAAAAGTTTAACAAGTGTTTTGACTGTGATAATGGTGGTCCGAATTTATGGCTGTGTCTCTACCCTGGATGTCGGTGGGTTGGCTGCTCCGAGAATCACCTGGACCACAACACGATACACAACGCCAAGAATCCATCCCACTGTACCCACATAAACCTCACGACCAACAGAATTTGGTGTTACACTTGCAAAAGGGAGGTACTTGCCAGGCATGTACCCTCGCCTCCGGTGTCACCTAGTCACATGGATGTCAAATTTACCGGTAATAAATTTTTCGGAGATGGTCAAGCTAATTTTGACAACAAAGTTGAAGCTGATATGAGAGTTTTGGTCGACAGGTAAATTATTTCTTCATTTACAGTGAAGATTAGATTTAGATTTGTTTATTTATGCCAAGGCCTGCTGGCTAAATGATAGATAAAAAAATACATGATAAATAAAAAATATAAGTATGTAATATCATGGGTAACTTACTACTATAATCTAAAAAAGTATAACTAACTCTATAAGTTATTAGTATAACTTAATTAGACTAATGACATCAAAATTAGCCAACGTTCAACAATTTTAGATTTTTTTTTTTTTTCAATTAAATTAGAACAAAAAAAAAATTTTTACAAAATTGCACGTATAATTTTTAAAACTCTACTTGTGAAATTTTTTTAAAATTTTTAGATGTCGGCTAACTTTATTGTTATATTAGACTAAGGATAATTACATAGATTATCTAATAAAAATTCTTTTATAAGATTTTTCTAATAATAATAATAACAAAAATTTACACTTTTATTTTTAAGCAATTTAAGAGGATTAATTTAAACTTCAAGTATCCAAATTTAGTAGATAAAAAAAGAATTTTATCTTGAATACATCAGAACTAGACACATTTACAATCTCAGACGCTAAATTTTGATGACATTAAAGTTAGCAGCCACTTAACAATTTTTTAATTTGATTTTAATAAAAAAATTATTTAAAAAAAATTACATTTTTTATTTTTTTAAATTTTTACATGTCAATTTTTTTCTAAAATTATTTTACCATAATTTATTTATTATAAAATAATCAAATATATAGTAAATTAATTTTCATTACATTTTGCCATAAACGAATAGCAGTAACAAACGCACCCTCATAAAGAGTAATCGCAAAATTAAGTAACATTTATTATTAATTTTAGGTTTTACGGTAATGAGAGATATTACCACGAAAAATCTGGCGACACACCTGACAGCACAGATTCAGAAGACAGCAAAGATTTCCCGAGCAAACCTCGGGGTTTGGTTGGCCTACAAAACATCGGAAACACTTGTTACATGAACGCTGCATTACAGGCGTTATCTAACGTGGTTCCACTGACGCAGTATTTCATGGACTGCAGTCACATGGTGGTATACATTGGGAAAGACAGGAAGCCAGGTCTCAGCTTGAGCTACATGAACTTGATAAAAGACATGTGGAATCACAAAACCCGGGGCTACGTAGTACCAAACGGAATTTTGTCAGGAATTCGCGCAGTAAACCCAATGTTCCGTGGGTACCATCAGCACGACACCCAAGAATTTCTCCGTTGCTTCATGGACCAGCTGCATGAAGAACTGAAAGAACGGATCGAGGACGACCGAGAAGCTATTCAAAATCTGAAAACTTTGGAGTCTTCAGACGAGGAAGAGACAGAAATGGACGGCAATGCGTCCAGTCAATCCGACGCGGAGTACGAAACCTGCGACTCTGGTGTAAGCGAACAAAGTTCACTGAGCGACGAAGGGGAGCGCGGTATGAAGCGTAGGTACTCGCGGGTTTCACAATCAGATAAGTTGAGAAATAAATTTACGACGCGAAATATTAAAAAAACTGCCAGCGATGAGACTTTCTCTCAACCACAGAGGTCTATCCAAAGTTCACCGACTAAACATCGAGCCAAGAAGCCTGTAAAGACCAGGAGCATAATAAGCGACGTCTTTGATGGAAAATTACTGAGCAGTGTCCAGTGCTTGACCTGTGACAGAGTTTCTACAAGAGTTGAAACTTTTCAGGACTTGTCTTTGCCAATTCCCAGCAGAGATCACATAGACATGCTCCACCAAGGTTCGCTAACACCCCAAAAAGCTGGACCTTGCTCGGACGTGGTCTACGTGACGAATCAGTCTGGCTGGATCTCGTGGCTGGTCCAATGGATGCGTTCCTGGTTCTGGGGCCCGGTTGTCAGTCTTCACGACTGTCTCGCAGCATTTTTCAGCGCTGACGAACTAAAAGGTGACAACGTCTACAGTTGTGAAAAATGCAACAAACTCAGGAATGGAATTAAGTACTGCAAAGTCCTCGAATTGCCTGAAGTACTTTGCATACACTTGAAGCGGTTTCGACACGAGCTGATGTTCAGTTCGAAAATAGCCAGTTACGTGTCGTTTCCCCTCAACGACCTCGACATGCGTCCTTACTTGCACAAGGAGTGTGTATCAAAGGTCGCGACTTACGATTTAATTTCTGTAATTTGTCACCATGGAACTGCGGGAGGTGGTCATTATATTTGCTACGCGCTTAATGCCGACTCGAACCAGTGGTTTGAGTTCGATGACCAGTGTGTCACCCAAGTTTCCCCCGAGACGGTGAAAAATTGCGAAGCCTATGTCTTGTTTTATAAAAAGAGATCCCCGGAGATGCTCCAGTACAGAGATAAAACGCTTGAATTGATGAATATTTCTTCGCGAGAGCCAGAGCTTAATTTCTTCGTTTCCCGACAGTGGATCAATCGCTTCAATACTTTTTCAGAGCCTGGGCCTATTGATAACTCAGATTTCCTGTGTCCTCATGGGGGTGTCAATCCTGTGAGAGCTTCTTTTGTTGACAGGCTGAGTATGCCGCTTCCTCAAGCTGTCTGGGAGTATCTTTACAACACCTTTGGCGGCGGGCCAGCTTGCTCGCATTTGTATGAGTGTCCTGTCTGCGAAGAAAAATACGAAACGCTACAAAAACGTCGCCAGTATGAGACGGATATTTTTCAAAGATATAATAATATTGAAAATCCTACTGCGATCTACGCGGTAGCGATGTCCTGGTTGAGGCAATGGCAGAGCTTTATCAAGGGTAAAGAGACCCAGCCACCTGGTCCTATTGATAATTCTTCTATTATTATCAATGTCAATGGGATGAAGGATTTGAAATCTGGTAAATTTTATTTTATTATCTTATTTAAGGTTAAAAAAGACCCAGTTATCGACACTTATTTTAATAAAATAAAACAAATTAACTCCAGTAAATTAATAAATACTAGTATCCTTGCAGTCACTATGTGACTTGTGAATTATAAATAAATAAAATTTTCCTTTACTAAATAATGACTTTTGTTAAATTGCACTGTACTTTTTCAACTATGGGCGTTTTTAAAGATATAAGCTCATCCCGATGTTACACTCATCAAGAGCTTTCATTTGAGTACCCACATCAATTTTTGATATATTTTTCATACATAGATATATATATAATATATAAAATATATGAAAAATTGATGTGGGTATTCAAATGAAAAGTCTCGATGAGTGCGATGTCGGGGTGAGCTTATATCTTTAAAAATATCAATAGTTCACAAGATACAAGGTCATTTCTTAATTATGTTAAATTGCACTGTACTTTATTAACTATTGACATTTTTAAAGATATAAGCTTATCCCGATGTTACACTCATCGAGACCTTTCATTTGAGTACTCACATGATTTTTTTTTATATATTTCATATATTTTATATATATGATATTTATAAAATATATGAAAAATTGATGTGGGTACTCAAATGAAAGGTCTCGATGAATGTAACATCAGGATGAACTTATATCTTTAAAAATGTCAATAGTTCACGAGATACAAGGTCTTATCTTAATTATGTATCTATAGATAGAGCATTTTCGCTTGAAATCTTAAAAAGGCACAAATTCAAGTCAAAACTTTTCCAACGATACCAAATTTAACCATAAAAATTCATTTTATCATATAAATTTTACCATAAAAATTTTGCTTCTTCTCTTAATAATATAGATAATTTTTGAATTATAAATTTTAAGAAAATTGGTTTTTTGAGAACATTAAATTTTTTTTATTAGAATTAAATTGCAAGTGTTAAACAACTAGGTTACCTTATTTTTATTTTGTAACAAATAATGATTTAATAAATTAAATATTGCTTTAGGTTCTGATTGCGCTCAAGTTTCTGAAGAAGTTTGGCAGTGTTTCCTCAATATCTACGGCGGAGGACCAGAATTAATGCTTTCTTGTCTAAGGCCAGCTCAAGTCCAGTCAAATGCTTCGTTACATTCCACATCAGCTCCTAATTTGATAGAACAGAGTCCTAAACAAAATCACACGGAAGTTAAAGCAAGCAATACCAGTAACAAAGTTGCTAAAAGCTCCGACACAATTTCTCAGCAAGACAGTGCTATCGAGAGTGTTCCATCTGACTGTGATTCACTTAAATCACAAAGAGATACTAATACATAAAAAAAGAAACTGAAAAATTAAACAGCATTTGGCATTTTCTTTAAACTGCATTAATTTGTTATTTGTTATTTATTTGGTTTATCAATTCTTTCGTACCACTGCGTTTTAAGTGCACTATATATATTTATAATACAAAACGTTGATCGTCAATTTATTACTATTTTATTATTTTTATTATTATAACAATTATTACAGTAATTAAAATAATACAATACAATACAATATTTAGATTTAATTGAGTTTATCAAAATGTCTTAACGTGGAACTGGTTATACCTTTATTTCTATATTTATAATTATAACGTTTTTCGTAAACATCCGAGTATTATTATTTTAGCTACTTTTTAATTATCATTGTGTGCAATTTTATTAATTATTTATAAATTTATAAAGTTTTAAATTATTAATTAGCACTTGGCGTTAAAGTGGAAATTAATTGATAACCAATTTAACAAAATTGTTGGGTCCATTTGTAATTTTTTAATACCGGGTTACCGTTTTAATTGTTTATTAATTCTTTAATTAATTTTTTAATAGTTAAATTTTGTAAATTATTCGTACGTCACACCTCTATGTACAAAGGCATTTCACGAGGCTAACTACACGCCCAATTCCAAAGTAAATTTTTTTATTTTTTTATTTTTTTTTTTTTTTTTTCAAATTATCAAAATATATTTACTGAGGGAGTAATTCTTGACTGATCAAATTTACACTAATTTTTCTGATTTTTTAATAAAAAATAAAATCAATAATTATTATTATCATTAATTACTAAATAATGTGAAATGCCATACATTTAAATTAATTTAAGTAAAGAACCACTAATCATAAATTGATCCGCTGAATTTATTATATTATTATCATAAATTTTTATTTGTATGCAATTAATTTTTTTTCTCAGCAATGTTACTATATTTTTATTTCAAATGCATTTTATTATTAAAATTAAAAGCGTCTATGCAACGCAATTATATCAATTACTTAAAAAAGTAAGTGAAGCGATGAAGTATAAACCTAAATTGAAGTAATAAAAGTAAAGCTAAATTACATAAGAAAAATTGTAAATTAAATGGTTAAATTGGTGATTATTTTATGTGTAACATACTTAGGGAATAAAAAATAAAATTGGTTTAACTATTTATTGAAATAAGTACTTTCATTATTGTAATGTAGAATTAAAATTATACTAAATTAATCTTAGGCTACATTCGAAAATTCTCTATCTCTAGGTACGTAATTAAGAAATGACCTATCTTGTGAACTATTGACATTTTTAAAGATATAAGCTCATCCCGATATTACACTCATCGAGACCTTTCATTTGAGTACCCACATCAATTTTTCATATATTTCATATATTTATATATATGTATATATGAAAAATATATCAAAATGTACTCAAATGAAAGCTTTTGATGAGTGTAATATCGGGATGAGCTTATATCTTTGAAAATATCAATAGTTAAGAAAGTACAGTGGAATTTAACGTAATTAAGAAATGACCTTTTATCTTGTGAAATATTGACGTTTTTAAAGATATAAGCTCATCCTGATGTCACACTCATCGGGACCTTTCATTTGAGTACCCACATCAATTTTTTATATATTTTTCATACATACATATATGTATA